CAGCTCTCGTCGGCGTCGAGCTTTAAATCTCGTATTGGTAATTAACGCTTAGGGCCTACATAATTGCCTAAAGTAAAACAACACACCCACTTGCTTAGTGTGCCCGGGGCTTACACAATGTTTCTTCCCCTGTTCAAAATGGAGTTGTCATTTTTGGAGTTCACATAATTGAGGTATCCCAAGTGGCAAAGGTAATCACATGGCGTAATCAATCTCAGTTCACAGCGGCGAATGTGTGTCTGCGCTCTCATAAATGCGCACCAGTAGGCGATGCTAACAGCCACACCCCCCCCCCCGCCCCGTACTATACGAGCATGAGCATTCACTCCATCTTTACTTTAAAAAGGTCTCCCGAAGTTTACCTTATGCAAGGACATTTTATATATATATATATATATTCCACCCACACGCTTTCAAAAAGGTTATGGAGAAATTTCCTCCACTATATCGTCTGCAATTTGTCCGCAACATGTCGCTTCTCATTCGGGCCACAAGTTAACATACCTCGTCTGTTAAGATGGTTCAGATTGTGCTTGTTCTTTCCGAGCACCAGATTCTACAATTTGAATATCAATGTACTTTCACAGAGGCGCCTTCAAGTGGCGCAAGCATTGTGCCAGCTTTGTACCGATGATCCGTACACTGTATTTCTCCCTTTTTGTCATTTTTCCCCCTGGTGGGCCGTTGAAAATTAAAAAACATGTAGTTGTAAAAAAAATTAGGGCATCATAAAATAAAGTTGTAAAAACTACCTTAAATTGTGTTTACAATACAGCAACGCATTTCGCCCAAAGCGGGGTCAAAATAATGTGTAGGAGAGGGAGCAATTTTGCCCCAAGACTAAAATTGGATTGGATTCCCCCATACATCAGCCGGCCCCTGACAAGCGCGATGAAGCGCGCTATCAACACGATCATAGTCAAATTCTGTCTTGGGAACTTCGGCAGCGCTACCCAGGAGGAAATTCCGAGCACACCTCACGCGCGTGCATTAGCTTGAATACAGTGCGTGTGAGGTATGTTCGGAATGTTTTGGGATGGTGTGACGAATTCGCAAGACTGGATTCGAATCGTCAGTGATAGTGACTTGACCGTGCTCGTCAAGGACCGGCTGTTTTAGGTGAATAAATCCAAAGCCAGTCTTGAACCTAGACTATAGGGTGGGAGGCAATTTAGGTCTTATTTTCTGACGATACTTTTTCGACATTCCTTCAGTATGCCTATTTAAACCCTCACGAATGAGCGCTTGATTGAAAATTGGGGGGAAAGCACACCCAGAACTAGACGTTTGTGGACAAACACATGGCTGTTTCGGCTTTTGTTTTATTGGTTTTTTTATGTCATGTTATAGACTGATAGAAAATGTAGTAGAAGACGCAGAGAGATCAGGGTAAAGTGGGGAAAACGCACACCCAGAATTATTGCAAGAAGTCTGATTGAAAAGGGGTGTTACTAAGTTTTTTTGGTCTTATTTAGGGGTTTTACTAAGGGGCACTGCGTCCTGAAATCCCCGAAATGTTCATGTTTGGGATTGTTTACTTATCCTATTTCAAACAACTGGTTGAAAGGAATACAACCTAATGTCTTACCGTTCCCGAGAAATGACGAGAAACCCCAGTTGTTTACATCGTACGCGACGGAGTGCGCATACGTTTTCTCTGTCGTTTTCAATCAATGTACGATACACGTTGTGTGTGTCACATAAACTACACACAGCACTAATGCACAAATATAATAAGTTGTTCGCAGAAGGCGAACAACTTTACGGTTTTGAATCTAGCACACAAACAGCTCGACTTTTTGGGGTCGCAAAAGTAGACCCCGAAAGTTTTTCTCGCACGCATAACACAAGAATAACACAAGTTGTGTGGATGTTCATATCCTACTTTTAAATGTTCTTTCCGATTAATATCATTTTCGTTCAAAGCGCGTTTTGTGTCCCAATTGAGCGCAGTCCAGGACGCAGTGTCTATGTAATGGCGCCTATATGGAACCCATTTTGTTAATTGGTACAAAAACCGAAAGCTGTCAGTAAAATGATGGTGAGTTGAGGCGCGGACTTTTATCTTTGATTCGTACCCATCGGATATCAAAACTATGCAGCCGGTGAAAAGTCATTCCAGAATGAATTAACGAATCGATAAATCGTCGTGTGCCTGGCAGAAAGGCATATGGGCGTATGCCCTTATGCAATAACGCGAAATCTCCAAAATGTTCCAAGCAAAAGGGCATATGCAGAAAAGTGCCTCTGTTTTAATGCAGCTTAAAAAAATTTCGTCAGAAATTAACACAAGTTGTTCCAAAACTCATGATTGTTAAGTGTGACAAATTTCAAAATCGTACGATTTATAATACGCGTGGGAGAGCAATAGGCCTACGCGTGGGGGAATATTAGAACCTTTCAATGCAATTTTCTTGAAAACGATTTTTGCGTCCGTATACGGTCATGCCTTTTTGCCGGGCACCCGACGAAATATTGATGAAATGGAACTGAGGCGGCCGTTTAAGCTCCCTGAAAATCGGCTTCCAATTATTATTCAGCAAGTCAGAACTGATGAGTGAGACAATGTATAGTTGAAATGCCACAGACGCCTGAGAAAATAATCCTAATTGGGCTGGGATTGGATCCCCCTCCTACACGAATATCTCGCGGACGTTCTGAAATCAATTCCATAATCATCCAAAACGCCCGGCGTGCACGCAAAATGTGCGGTACAGTAAAATCTGTTCTTTTTCTTTAACCGTGCAGAAAAAAAACTGCTACGCTTGTGTAAACACAAGTTTACACAACAGGTTGCTACATATAGTACACAACCGTTTGATTTTTACACAACCGAAATAACAGTGTATGTCTCAAATATATGTGATGCGATCAAACTAAATGAGTGTTTGTCGGGAACTTTCATAATATAGGGCCACTTCATCACATCAAGTGGCGTAGCCACGGGGGGGGGGGGGGGGGCGTGGGGGGGGGGGGGCGACAGCCCCCCCCCCATGAAACCTTGTCGCCCCCCAGTCGCCCCCCCCCCCCCCCACTGAGATTTTGAGTTTCTAAAAAAATTATCATTGATCTACATGACGCCCCCCATGAAATAATTCTTAACCAAAGATGGTACCAATATGCGTGTGTTTACAGCAGTGATGCAGAGATTGTGCTCTTTTTCAAATTGACCAGGGTCGACAAACGACTCATTTAGCTTGATCGCATCACATATGTCTTTAACTTGAAGGGATATTTAAGGTTACAAAAATCATTGCAGTTCAGAGTTCAAAGGGAGTGGAATCTCCTCAGCGGTTAGACGCGGCTTTTGGACTAACTTTTTCACTTTGGTAACAACAAAGAATCAACATTATTTCAAAACCTGAGCATCTCCACGACACCAAAACACGGCATTCTTGGATCGTAACCTGACCAATTCACTTCAAATCTATGCCCATGTATGCATGCATGCGTATACAAAGCCCGTATAAGGCAGCCGAATGACGGCATTCTCGTGAACAAAACACTTCTCTAAAACACAGTTTTTTGTGATTTAATAACAATTTATGGAATCGATTTAGAAGCTACTTTTTTTGTCAAAGAAAGAAGATTAAGAGAAAAGAAGATTCCTTGTCATTATTTCAAGAAAGTAAAATGAAAGACCAAATTCGTGTGAAACGTTTACCATGTTTCTATATATGATTTGCTCATCAATTGTGGTGCTGATGCAAAGTCAATAGGGATTACGGTATGGGACGAGGCTACAAAAAAGAACTGTTAAACTATTTCTAATTGCTCGTTAACAAGTGTGAGTGCACAATATAAGCACTGGCGAAAAATGCGACGCCGATGGCACATAGTGGAACACCATACATTTCGTCAATTTTCATTTCCTTCTTCTGGATACGGTCCATTCATTTCAGAAGACATCACGTGACTATAACAATACTACACATATCTTGTATCCGTTTACACACTTTTTATAAACAACTTTACCAATTGTCACAAAAACAATTTAAAAGTGCATTTATTGACGACGGCATGGCATTTGCTCAAGTTTTGTAAAATATTTTCGATCAAATTTTCGGTGACCGACCGACTACTCAATTCAATTCAATTCAAAGGCAACATTTTATTTCCATACTTTCCACAAATAAGTCAAACTAAGTTTTCCAATAAAAAGAAAGTAATTGTACAACAATGTAGTACAATGACTAAATATATTAAATTAGGGTGAAGAGTATGGGGCTGTTCATATAAACCGAAGCTTGTAGAGAACAGCCTTACACATAAACGGACAATACAGGACAGTATACACAGACAATAGGAATAAACACGAAAACAAACAGTCAATGGGAAATTAAAGACAAGACAAAACAAAACAAAACACCAGACGAGACACTAAAAACCGAGACAAATTGAATAGTTGCGATGAGGATAAATTAAATAAAAGAGACGATGAATTGTATGAAAAGAAGAGATGTGGCTATGGAGAGTGGCTGAGGAGGGAAGCGTAATTTTTTTTCCTAGGAGGGTTAGGGGCAATGTCATGAATAATTCAGTTTTTCCTTTGAATCATTGCAAGACTTAGGTTCTCGTTCTATTTTCCCCTTAATTTAAAATTATCTCAGTGATAAATTTGGAGAAGAAAAATAGCTGATAAAAATGAGCAGCGACGACGTGGATTCGAACCAGGGATCTTTGTATCCATAGCTCATCTCGCTATCCACTAGGCTACTGTGTGGCAGCTCGACGACAACCGTTCTTTAAAATGCTTTAATGTATTGTAACTAGTTGAGTAACTAACAACAATGTTGTTGATGTCCTTGTCCGTTGTCATGGATAAACATGAATTATTCATGACATTGCCCCTAACCCTCCTAGGAATAAAAATTACGCAGGAGGGAAAGCTATGTTACATAATTGTGATAGGAGCGCCCTTTTGTACGAGGATTTAAAACGGCCCACGGACGTCATTGTTCTGATTTCGTTTTCAATGGTATTCCGCAAACGGGGACCATAGAAATGGAGTGTAGAACTAGAATAGAGGGTGCGGGTAAATGGGACGTATAAATTGTGGCGGGATCTAATTGAATAATCGTGTGTGCTTTGGACTGATGAGAAGAAAGTGACTTGTATAGAAGCTCAAGCCAGAGCTTAAAAAACCCCGTATAAACCACGATTTTCTGATCAAGTGGAATGAGTTGACGTCACTATAACTCGCGATATAATCAACCAATCACGGTAGGTATCGATCAGGTGTTTTTTTGTCGACCGAGTTCTTAAGCTGTTAGCCTTGCGCTCCTAGCTCACACATTGCTCCGAAGTTTGTTGCATCAACCACAGCTTGATGCCACACGGGTATTTTCAGTCCTCAACATCATTCCCGAGAGGAAGCCTAAGACCAACCATTTCCTCAGCTGACTCGCGGCCAGGGTATTGAGCGATGGTCTCCCCACTCGTGTTCTTGTTTCTTCTCTGCGGAGAACAAACAGGTAAGTACTCTTTTACTTATTTTTGTGTGAGCTAAAACGTAATTGTTTGGAGCTAGAATTCTTTCTTGTTCCGTTAGCTCCATGTAGTGTTTTAGTGGGTTTTTTTTATATCGCATTCTCCGATTTTATAATGGGTCTTCGGTACTCGATCTCAAAAGCAACCATCTTTTGTCAAAATTTTTGTAATGTTGCTTTCGGTTCAGTGACTAATTTATCTCATAATGTTTCGTATTTTTATTGCTTGAAAATAACATGGATTGCTCGTTTTTATTCCCATCGGTAGGAATTCTGCCGTGGTATGAAAAGAGAAGGTTTTTAATTCACTGCTGGTAATTACAGAACTTTAATTTACAAACATAGGGCATCAGAAGAAGAAGCTACGACGTTTGCTCTTTTCCCCATCCAATCAATATCCTTATATTCAGTTTTTGATGATTAAAAACAAAGTTATAATCTTGCGACTACAAGCATCCCCAGCAGTAATGCTTGGCGCCGAGAACGGGAATACGAATGCATTTTCTCTATATTCGCCATTTTCAAAGCAATAATGTGGTGAGTTGGGGGTTAAAACCTTTTCATTTTTTTTTCAATTTTACATGGGTCTGGGTAACTAAATGTATTTAGTTACATAAAAAAAGTTACAGAAAAAAAATCGTTTAAAAATAAAATGAAAACATATAGGCCTATAAATAAAATATATATATATATAAACATAAGAAACACATCTTTAGTGAAGGAGACATTTGAACAAATAGGATCTGATAGCGGACATTCATTGCACCGGACTTTAAACGTAACTTTTTTACGTTAAAGATGACTTTTCATGCTATTTTCAGATACTGATTTTTCTAGCATGACATTACATTTCTGATGCTATTCACTTTTAAATGAGACATCGAAGAAAAAAAACGACCTATTAGTCTACCGCACAAATTTCGAAATATTTGAGGTTAGCGCGGGGTAGACTGGTTCCCGTCCCCTATCACTTTAGCGAAAATGTAGGAAACTGAAAAATGAAGGAAGCGAAAATCAAATGTATTTTGCAGAGGCTCGCAGTCGCCCAAAATAAAAACAAGTTCGTTGATTTAAGTATAACATTAAACTTTAAAACTCGTCAGGAGAAAATCGAATATGTTGAAGACCACAGACAGAACATGATAACCAAAACTATAAAAAGGATAGTTTTGCACATGGTGAGTATAAAAAAAAGAGAAGAAACCCAAAAGTCGCGACCATTTTTTTAGTGAAGTTCTGCATGTAGCACTTTCAAAATCTAGGATATAAAAACCCAATTCATAAGCTTTCTTTTAGTACAAGAATCATTCAAATCACTTATGTACTTTTCAAGTTACGGAATTTTAAACACACCGTTTTTAAAGTTCTGTCCACGGATCACAAAAAGGTGAGTGTTCTTGTTTCTTCTCTTCGGAGAACAAACAGGTAAATACTCTTTTATCTATTTTTGTGAGCTAAAACGTAATTGTTTGTATGTGAATTGTTTTCGTTTTGCTGAAAGAACGCTTACATGTTTTGTGATCCGTGGACAGAACACTGTAAAACGGTGGTTGTGTTTAAAATTCCGTAACAGCAGGAAAATCTATTAATGTATTTAAATGTCATTTTTCTTTCAATTTCATTTTTAATAAATTTACTCGGTATTTGAAACTTGGACTTTTTAGAGTTGGAAGTGTTTGACTTTATATGCCTTTTGTAGGCCAATCTACGGGCCAATGAATTTAACTGGTTGCTACACGAGCGACAATACACAGTTCGATCCTACTGCACGCGGCACGGCTAACGGGACCGTCAGTTTCCACCGTAAATTTAGGCCGTGTCCGTAAGGTGTGGCTGCGGTGGGAAATAACACGTGCGCCTATGGAAGCCACTGGCTTGTGGCTACAGCCACTTCCCATAGAGGTGTGTGTTACTCCCGGCCGCAGCCACTGCCTGATTTCTCAGCCTGGTACCGGTTTATTTGCATGTTCAAAAATCTTGCAAATACAAATTAGCTATACAGACGGAATCAATTGTTCGCGATTTTGTCGAAGTTATAGTTAAAATCTTTACCCATCCAATATGCAGTATAACATTAAAGAGGCCTATTCGCTCTTTTCACGCTCCGCCAAAGGCATGCAGAGCCTCGATCTGGCAAGTTTACACAATGAAAATAGCCGGTTTTGTGATCTAAACCCCGACACGGGAATCACTGAACCGGCTATTTTCATAAACTTGCCAGATCGAGGCTGTGTATGCCTACGGCGGAAGCGTGAAAAGAGCGAATGGGCCTATTATTATCAGTGAAACTTGGAAAGGGGAGCACTGTTTTTGAAAGTTGGACGTAATAATTCACAAATCACAATGAACGTCAAAACACGTCAAAATAGGACAAGATTGATGATACCGAAGCGATCACTAAATACGTGATCGCTTCAGCACCAGCCTCTGGTTCAATCGTGTCTCCCCAGACTTCTGTCAAAGTACACGATACAAATCCATTACTTGCTATTGGAGTGTCGAATTCAGGTTACAGAAAGCAAGTGTCCCCTCCCAGGGGCTACTATTGACAATAAAATGGGAACGAGGTTGGCTGTATGCATTCTGTAAAGTATTAACAGAATACCAGTCCGGTTTCCGGCGCATCTGACGAGATACTTGAAAGTACAAATTCTGAACCCTTCAACCACGGTGAAAATAACGCAGTGTGAGGAATAATCAGCAAGCAAGTATGTTCCTTTCCTCTCGATAACGGCAGTTTGGAGAACGACTAGAGCTGCAGTTCGCTTTAATCTATAGCAAAATCCGCCAATGAAAGACTATGCACCGTTGACACTTTCGCACTGGTCAACGCGGGCGGCTCCGGGCCGGGGGGGGGAGGAGCAAGGCCCCGGCCTTCACCCCCGGCTAATCACATTGGAAGCCCAGTCCCAGGCAAAGGCCGCCCAGCTTCCCCCTATCACCCCCACCCGCCAAATGACAATCTAGATCCGACGATGATGAAATAAGCATAAACTATCACATAGACTTCACCGTTAATTTTCAACACAACTTTTCCCGTGATGTACTTGTTGTAATAGGACACTATAGCTGGCTTAAAATAAAAGAAAATTGTTACAACATTTTATAATCACCGTCATTGATTGAACGCCAACCAGATAACCACGCATCAAAAGAACCCGGCGAAAAAGTGGTTTGTTATACTGCTAGCATTTTCATCGGGTATAAGTTATGTTTTCATTCTGACGATAAATATGTACGTGGAATAACTTCAATAATTTTAAGAGTGAATACAAATTTATTTTCCGGAAAGGTGAGATTCTCTGAATTGACTTTTATACCGCTTGAAAGAAAGTCACTGGGGGACGGCGATGATCGCCAATGACAACGATGACAATCACCGACTGCACCGATGGTGACAATGATTAGGATGGCACTGTAGTCGATGACGATATTCCTGACGGTGCTGGGGATGACGATGATGGTGTCGTTGGGTATAACGACGACAACATGAATGAAAACAACATGACATTATATACGACCAAGACTATAAATAAAATATGATAGCTTTTTGGCAATTTCAGCGTCACGAAAATTAAAAATCAGACTTTTCTTGTATTTTAAGAGCTCAGTGAACAAACCTGAAAATATAGTTTTCAAATCTTCAAGGAGATTACAGACTAGGAGTCTGGGATCATTTCTCTATCATTACTGAGATATCATGTTTAATTGGCTCTGTCGCAGACATTAAATTTCTTCGATAAAGCAGTATTCTTGATTCTGGTTTTTGCTGCTGTTATATCTTTTATCAGTTTTAACAAGGAATTCTACTTTTTTTTACTGGTTAGCACAAATACATTTGTGTGCGTGTCATGTTATTTGGCCATTATGTTTATCGTCACTCCATTTCCCCCATCACCGACCTTCAGTCAGTCAATGGAGTCACGTTCACGAGGTGCATTAACCTCGAGTCCAACTCAACCTAGGCTAAAAAATACGGCGAGGTTAAGAGTACGACGGACTGGAGGACATGAACTCATCGATTTCTGTTGATTTACCCACCTCCACCTGAGTATTTACGTGGGTGAATCGCAATGTTTGTTTCCCCGTTCAAGGCAAGGTAGCGAACCATGATGTCGATCAGTCTTACGTCATGCCATTTAATTGCTCTTGCTTCCACGCCTTTCGTCCATTTCATAATATGCATTATTTCATAAGTGTGTCATGGGCGTACGTGTTCTCCTGGGGCAAACGGATTTCCTCCTGCAGACTTTTTTTTTGGGGGGGGGGGGAATATAAATACTACACTCTGCGTTCTCTCTGCATGGTTTTCCAAAAACTTGTGTTTACATTTTTTAAGTTAGAGGTACGAGAACACCTTTTTGGCGGATTGCAGTTTGATGCTATATTTCTCTGACGTCACAGCTGATCAGTAATATCTAAAGGAATTAATTATAGCTTAAGACTCAATTGTATCGACTGAATAGTACACTCACAGAAAAGGACGGGGATGAAAAGAGTTTTAGTGATGCCACGTGCGAAGACATACACATTCAATGCGAAATGCCGATAAGGTCTGCTAAAGTAGTGCAAACTTGACGTACAGAAAAAAAGGAAAATTCGCAGTTCTCTAAAATGTCTTAGAAGACGTCTTGTCAGTGATGTGTATTTTGTTCTTTCTTAACAGTCACGAGCATGCCAGTGTATGAGGGAAGGGTGACCGTGACACCTTCATTGTTCGACCGAAGTCAGGTAGGTAGACAGTGGGGGCGGGGGATGACTCACCATGCATCATTGATGCAATTACATTCTTCATTCTTGTTGCATTCTTTTCAATTGTCCTTGCATGCATGATAGAACACCCACACAAAACGAACTTTGCAAGCAGTAAACATAATTAAAACCACTTAGGATCATATGCAATTCGACAAGGCGGATTTAATGACATAAACCTAGCTCATAAGTGAAGATAGGACTTGTATCATAGTACCCTATAAACTGTTCCGCCTAAAACCCTAAATGTCATCGTTCGGAAGAAAACAAACATCGAAGGTGCATAGTTTCAAAATGGGTTGTCCGCTATGAGGCGCCAAGTGTACATAAATTATTTAACAATTTTTTTTAATATATAATTCATTATTTGCAAAAAATTATTTGTATATATTTATGTTGCCAAAAAAATATATATAATAATAACATTACATTAACAAATTATATGTTAATAATCAGGTTGCAAAAAAACAGATATTTGTAAATAACGCAGTAGCACATAAATTTATTTACATATAATGCAAACTGCCAAACAATTATTTATATATAATTGTCCGAGGAGAAATTCATGATATGTAAATAATGCATTATATATAAATATGTAAGCCTAAATAAGCAGAAAAACTGAATTACATAACAAATAATGAATTATATATAAATAATTTTGTTAAATAATTTATTTACACTTGGCGCCTCATAAAGTCCGCGGGTACACTTTTTTCGTACGCTTGAAAAGGAATCCAGTTACGAGACCCAGGAATTGTGCAGGTTTTCTCTGTTGCTTCAAACAAAATAATGCGCAAAAAGTAGATTGTCCTTTGTACTTTAAATATCAATCAAAAAATGACAAAAAATCGTGGCAGGCTTTTAATTATAAGTGCTTCTTCATCTAGGTTTTGCCATTGGTTTCACTGTCATATTATGGCAGGCTGTTACTACAGACACTTTTATAGGTTTGATTTGATATCGAGAACCATATAAAAACACCAATGGGTTTTTTTTACACTAAGAAGTCTTGAAGCAACAGCGGAAAGCAAAATGATATACATGTTTATAATTTAGTGGTTTTTAGGAAATTGTATTCGTTAGAAATTATACTGTGGGCTGTAAGCTGAAATGTCCTTACTTTTTAGAAAATATTCAACTGCTCATTCTTGAGCGATATTAAGCTGTTCAACCTGTCCCCGAAGTACGTTGACAATTTTTCTCTTTTGCACATAAGTGTGTGATGCACATGGACTTGCGGCCAATAATCCGGCAGTGCCTATTAAAGGTATTGTACACCAGATGCTTACATTCCAAAACGGAACCGCCAAAGGATTATGAAATGCCATTACTTTAAGTTACTTGTCTGCTATAAAGTAGTAGCCGTAAATCCGTTCCGTCAATTTTATAAATTAAATCAACTTCAAACAGTGGAGTGTGTACAACTTACCTTTTAAAATACACAATTGCAATTTAGGCAGGAAATAAACGGATTATCAGTGAGTTTGGAAATCAGATTAACATGAGACAACTTTATATCCATATGAAGCTAACGGCAAGCGTAATTTTTATTCCTAGGAGGGTTAGGGGCAATGTCATGAATAATTCATGTTTATCCATGAGAACGGACAATGACATCAACAGCATTGTTGTTAGTTACTCAACTAGTTACAATACATTAAAGCATTTTAAAGAACGGTTGTCGTCGAGCTACCACACAGTAGCCTAGTGGATAGCGATATGAGCTATGGATACAAAGATCCCTGGTTCGAATCCACGTCGTCGCTGCTCATTTTCATCAGCTATTTTTCTTCTCCAAATTTATCACTGAGATAATTTTAAATTAAGGGGAAAATAGAACGAGAACCTAAGTCTTGCAATGATTCAAAGGAAAAACTGAATTATTCATGACATTGCCCCTAACCCTCCTAGGAAAAAAAATTACGCTAACGGCAAGTGATACCAACGACTCTTTGCGAATCTCTGTTTCCGTCACATCATGTTGTGGAATCATTTTATAGCGCACTCGGTGAAGGCGGTGGGACGCAAAAAAACATGTATAGGTGTGGTACAGAGCTACTCATGCACTTCTACACGTTGATGTCGATTTTTTTTTGCTGGGGGAACCTGGAATAGCCTCTCAGTCTGGTAACCTGTTGGTGACAAACGGCTCTTTAATTGCTCCATGAGACATGATTGGTCTGTTTCCCAAGAGGTCACACGCATGCACAGACGTAACATTCTTAAACCCAAGCGTAAACCTCCTGCAGGATCGCTGTGTTTTGCCTGCAGGTTCAGGATTGTCTATCACAAGAACTGTCGGCGAAAAGTGACTTTCCCTTCGAGATCCGTCCAGGTTGTCTACACATTTTGCAACATGGTAAGAATAAACTAAAGTAATTTTTAAGGGAATTTCCGTCAGCATCTGTCTTAAAACCAAATCAAGAGACATAATAGAGTTTAATTTAACATATATGTTTAATATTAAATCCTTTTGATGGGACGGTCATTGTGAAGCAGCATGTAGCATTATAATTAACTTCTTTTGTTTTTTTACGATGTATAGATGTGTTTATTTGGAAATTTGTTTGATTTGAACTCATTTGAAGTTTAAATGAAAATTTGATTTCATTGTTTAAGTTTTAGTCCCACACTGCTTTAAATTTCGTAAGAACGAATTAATTCTTTTTCATACCTGATTTTCATGCAACCGTGAATGCCTCTATGTAACATTGCCCCTGTTCATGTCCTCATCCATGTGGAGTCACGGATTTGGTGGTTTAATTTTTGCAACAGTTTCCTTGAAAATTTCAATTGTTTTCATCATTTTCACGAGCGTTCAGAGAGCACTTGTTTCTGACCCCTCCCCCCCCCCCCCTAGTACAAACTGCAAAGGAAACAAATGATGATTTCTCTGTTTATCATGGACGTAGGTATTATCATAGTTTTTAATTATTTTTGAAAAGCGTGTACACGGCCCCCTAACCCCCTCCCCCATCGCACGGTTTGTACGATGGTGGAAATGATGGGGGGGGGGGGGTTGATGGCCCCTTATACTGTTAATTCATGATGAAACTTGAAATGAGTGTTTGTACTCTAGAAAGTCCCAGCCGTATTAGAGTGTGGTGATTTTGAAGATATCTGTATTTTTGTAACCATCATATGAATACCAGCCGCTTATTTTTTTGACTCGGCCAAAGCAACAAAGGAGGCGCAAGTTGCCAAAACAACGTTTGAAAAATACAGGCCTTTTAATGGAAATCTATGTGAAAACTATTCATGCACATTGTCAGTCTGCATTTTAGAATGGCAAAACGGGAAAATACTTATTATTCAAATGGAGGGCAGATTATGCCCCTTCTACTACATTTGAAAACATGAATATAAAACAAGATTTCCTTAAGACTTGTTCAAATAAAGATCCAGTCACAAATTGCTTTTTTCCCCCAACAGCCTTGTTTCCCGAGGGAACGCCCGTCGACTTTACCCAGTCCTCTGACTGGTTATCACGAATTCTTAACCGGGCGCGTGTGATCAGCTCAGAGGAAGGATTACACTGGCTATGGAGCCTGCTACGTGAGGACTGCGGAAGCCTGAAGGGACTGCTGGCCAGTCTAGCTACACACATTGCACGGAGGGAATTGGAAGAGAGTACCGGCCTTGGCGTCTCGGGTCTGTAATCATTGCGGATTATGAGTCTATTAAATAAGTACACTCTTTGGTAACAAAACTGAGCAAAGAAACATCGCCGGTTTTTTTTTTCGATTGAGGATGACTATTCATATTTTTACGTTCCTTTCGGAATATTTTTGTTTAAAGGGTTCGTGAGATGAATTTTTCTTGGAACACATTTTGTGAAACTTTCTACTCCTCTTAAATGTATGGAACCTATTTGGCATCTCTTTTTGGTTAATTTCTTTTTGAAAAGTGCACTTCTTTCAACATTTAAAATTATCCATGCTTTTCCGGACTACTGAGCGCGCTAGCACGTTGCTGTGATGTCATTTCAGGAAGACACTGTTAAGCTTAGGGCTTTTCTGTTCAAATTGTGAACCCAAAAATGTACTCATTGAAAACTTTCACATTTTGTAAAACTCATTAGCTTACTCAACGGTTATGTACTGCTGTAACATTGCGGTTTCTGCCTGAAATGAGATCTCACTTTTGCTCATGAATATGGAAATTTGTATTAGCATAAAACACAAAAAGGCATCAAAATACTCCTGAAAGCAAGACAAAAATTGAAAATGGGGTTAAATTGGACACAAAGGTGCATTTTCAAAGATTGTATTAAAAGTTACATTGCATGGTCCCTTTAATTGATTATTCTAATTGAACGAATTTTGGTTTAATTCCTTTCAATGTCTTTGGTAAGAAAAAACTGAGTACACACGTAAACAAAGTGTGACGTCATTAGTACAGAGGCTTATTGGTCAATATCTTTGTTCAAGGGGCGCTTGTCAAAAGCCGTACCCATTAAATGCCATACAGTCAGGAATCACACCAAAAGTCACGATACAGACCTGGGAAATAGTAAAATGATGTAAGACAATTTCCGTTCGAATAAATCTCGTCTTTCCTTATACAGATGTTACAGATGCCAACGATTACATGCAGAAGCGAGGTGAAACGACCACCATCAGAAGTGATCAAGATCGAGGTAGGCCTGTATGATTCAGGCTTTTTGTCCATATTGCCAACATACTGTCTTATTCAATATATTTGCAAGGCTAATTTGTTATTAAAAAACCTATATAGATATCCACTGGCACTGGGCCAAAAACAGACACCAATGATTTCGAATTGCTTCCCTCTTAAACAAAGTTGCGTTTGGCTCGTTAAAAGCTTGTCCATGCATGAACGAGTTTGAAGCTACTTTTCACAGGGTGTGTGTATACAGTGAATGCTGTGTAACTATATTTTTTGGCAAGCAAGAAATGACTGATTTTTGTTCAAGCAGGTAAAATGGTTTGTAAGGGACTGGGGTTGTTGTATTAATATCTTGGTGCTCAGGGTGGTTCACAAAGAATGTAAAAAAAACCCATTAACCTCAATGAGTCAGAATCCACCTTAAGAGGATAAAATGAGATCGATGAGATTAATGGTAAATTTAACGGTTTAAGATGAATTGCTTTGAAGATAAGATTGATTTTTAGGGGGTACGATTTATTGTAAAGATTTGTGAAACATCCCCTGATATTGCATGGGGGCGTATTTGTGCCCTTTCTGCCCAACTTAAACGCAACGGCAAAGTTTAGTTTGTCAGTAAAAATGACAGTCAATTGTATATGTCTTAAAAGTAGGCCTATACCGAAGTAGAAAGTAGTACTTCCAAGAGATGTTCATTTAGCCTGTGAGTTTTAAGCACAACTAAAATTACTGTTTCCAGGGTGCAACATAACAAGATATAGAAATATGTGTTAGTCTTAGTTTTACTTGTGCTCTGATTAGTCTCTTTCAATTTCACATAGAAAATCAGGACATTGATTTGTTGTGCTTTCTATAACCAGCTTTGGATATCTTTCGGGATCATATGACAGTTGAGGATTTGGCTCGACTTATGACCGACAGACCCAGCGCTGCGGATCTGATAGACACTCACGTGCCACTGCCGAGTGTGGCCGCCGCGGCCGGTTAGTGCCCCAAAACAACAAGGACGACACAGGCCCAACGAAGACACTCCACACCTGTCGCAGTCAGAAAAGATGGCGACCAATTTGGATGGTCTCCCCCAACTCTCTCTTGTAGGCCGTTGAGGGAGTACTTGTGCACGCGGAGTCCATAAATAGAGCAGTTACTTTACTCCACTTTTACACTTTCATTCATTTATTTGTTCATTCACTTTCATGATGACTTGATGAGTTTGACCCAACTGTCCCTGTCGAGCATAGTGTTGGAAAGAGATGGACCACTCAGACCAGTTTCCAACTCGACAGACCAGTTTCCAACTCATGTATTCAGGGTCATGTTGGGACGACCTCTACGACGAGGGGCATCAGGATTCCAGAGAAGAACTCTAACACAGGACTCTAAAACTTTAATACAGGATGGGTATTGTTTTGGGTGTGTTGTCTTACACCATATCCTAGCCTTTCAGGAAAGGTAATGCTTTAATATCAGCCTAGTTTAAAGATGCTATACCCGTGCTCATTTCAATTTTCTTTTCTCAAAATGAATTTTCAATGTGTAGGCCTATGTTAATTTCAAGGGAACGCTTAACTTTTTTTGTATTTTTGACATATTTAACCCTCTAAAAATAAGCTTCTATTTTTTTATTGCTTTTGCGACCATAGCGCACGAAAAGATAAGGCTGAATTATTGTCTGACCTTAAATAATTCGAAATTTGTTGTTATAACATATTTCATTTCTAAACGTGGGTGGATTTTGTTGTTCCATGCCTCATTCAAAAATGAAATGTTGTGTATTGCAAGAGAAAAATAGGAATTTACAACAACAACAAAACACGAGGAGAGCAACTTTAAAAAATGTACAGTATTTGCAGGAAAATGCTTTCCATGGGTATTCGACTTACAAAGGAAGGGAAAAACTTAATTTCATAAACATTTACTACATAAAGTGAACTATTGATTAAACCTATCGATTGGCTTCTTTTCTGCGTGATTAGTGGCAACACTATAGACCTTATTCACGACGAAGCCATTTTCGATCATGTTCCCTGAATCCACTTATTAAACTGTAAACTGTTGAATGGGATGGTGCCAGACTATTTATGATAGGAGTACGTGCCAAGCCTCACTTTCAATTTTTTTTTTAAATGTGGCGTAAACACTAAGGTATGTTTAATTACATTTTTTAAATTATTCATCAGAACAAGCTGATTTTAAATTGTAATTTGGCGTAAACACTAAGGTATGTTTAATTACATTTTTTAAATGTAATGTGGCGTAAACACTAAGGTATGTTTAATCACATTTTTTAAATTATTCATCAGAACAGGCTGATTTTAACTTGTAACGAACTTGTATTTCATTGCTTTCATTTCCACTCACACGTTTTAAAAAATAATGAAGAGTATACCTCGCTTTCAATTTAGTATGGTCGACTCGTGAATAAAGTAAAATCTGGAGGATTGAATTGCATAACATGTCCTGTATCCGTATCATCCCTTTATATCACTTTTTCCTGCCAAACTTTGTAAGCATACTCGTTGATTAGTGTCTTCTTTCCAAATTCTTTTTTTTTCTGTTCTCATCATGCTATCATCTTTTGATAATTTTTCGTTACATCTTGCAAAAGCACTTGGAACTGAAAGACCATACTATAGCTTATGAAATAGCTGACAATGTAAAATATGTTACTGTCATCAAAGTAAAATTATTTCATGCGATCAAATGAAAGGTAAGGATTGTACATTTCTTTGGAATTAACAATAAAATAGATAACTTTTAATGTTAAACAGGATCAACGCACATTTTCTTACCAATATATCCTACTGTGTTTAATGTGTTGGTTATCTTGCAAAAAAATTGATCATGTGATATCTAATTCATTAATCTACAGCGCGTAATGTGTTTCGTCAACATTCATTGTTTTTCTTTTTTCGTCGCAGTTGTCCGTGAAACGTAGGTTCTCATAGGCTCGGAATCTGCGTAAGAGGAAAAACAGAAATTACAATGCAGCCATCTTTGAGGTGTGAACTTTCAATAGTCATAATTAGAGCCAAAGGATTGTACAGCATATTGCTCTCGATTGGCCAAGACAAAGGCAGGGGCGTATCTAGCTTTCAGGAAACGGGGTGGGGGTGGGGGTGGGGTGATGATAAGTGGGAGTTGAGTGAGGCTGAATGGGAAAGGGGGCGGGGTTGCAACATCCCCTACCCCACCCCACCCACCCTAGATGCGCCACTGTAATGAGCGTTCCATACGCTACATACCAATGAAGAACTTCTGTTCCTCGTGATTTCCAAGGCTGACCATGTCGGCGCCCTTTATCCTGGCGTCCATCCAAACCGCATTACTCTACTAGAAATAATAACAGAACTCACCCGACTCGCAGGCTACAAGCAAACTTCACGGCTAGAGTTATACCACGACCCAATTTTTCTTTCCTTTTCCAAATTAGCTTCAGAACCGTCCGAGCTCCCTCAATTTTTGAGGCTATCTATTTTCCCGTGTCTCAGTGAATAAGACCAGAGAAAGAGTCCTCGTTGTACCTATCTGACTGACTGACTCTCACTTTTGAAGTTAGTCGAGCAGTGCTGTCGTATAGGATTACCATGATACCAATAAATTGGCTAACTTCGGCCCATTGTGTAGACCAGATGCATGAAAAGACTTCGAGTGAATGGCCATTCCTAATCAACTAAAACTTAACTGAATTCAATTTTGTGTGCTCTTGTGCCAATTTTGCTATAGGTTTTCATTGGCTAGAAAGTTTTAGATTAAAAGTCGTTATCCGTCTCGACAATTAACGAATGGTAATTAATTTGATTAATTGTTCGTATTGGTGGTCACTTTACAGACAAGTGAATTATAAACTGCATACCCTCCTATGAATTCAAGCACACTATCTAAAAAGAAATATTGGGATTTTTTTTTTATCGGTTGGATGAATAGGCCGTAGAACCTGCGGACGGGATGTTGGTACTCGATGCAGTGTCAAAAGCACCCCGAGAAGACCTGTGGCCAAAAAAAAAAAGGTTTTCTGAAATGTATTGTTTCTATCAAATGGTAAAATACCATAGGTCTTTTCTTTGCATACTTCGGGGTTTTTTCCCCGACTCGCCTGAAGCAAAGGCCATTTTTTTTTTGCGCCAGTCGACTGGCGCAATCATTAGCCCTTGGGAAAACATCAAATAATTGCGTGCCGAAGAAAAAATGGGGGGATTTCCGGGCAACGATCTTTGGGAAACTCAGAATATAAGTAGGCCTATAGTCTATAAACATATCCCCCGTATTTCCGCTTTTGCGTTGATTTCACATCTAAGTTTGTTTGTCCCATGCGCCTTTTGTGTGTGTAACATTAACTTGAATCAACTTATTGTGTTAGCTAATTGTCATAGGCACTTGTCAAAGTAAGTTCAACGTGTTTAAGTACAAAACTTAGGGGGATCATCCGGTCTACAAGTACATAAGCTTTGTTTTTATGTAGACATCCTTTAGGCCAAAAAAAAAAAGTCTCCGGTTTCTGGTATGGAGCTTGCCCAAAAAGTGGTGCGGCGACGCGGCTTTTTTTTTTTTTTTACCTGATTTTTTTGCCTCAAATGTCGGCTGATGACTGCAAATGGTGCCCGACTAAACTTAGTGCAAATGTATGGGAGTCCAGAGAGGCCACATAAAGCTTATTCTCGACCATAACCCAATCTAAAAAAACACGTTAAAATTGTGCAGCAGCAGAATTCCTGTCAAACCAGTGAGTTTGGCGGTTTTCATTGAAAAAAAACCTTTTTCATTTTGCCGACGTGCATGGCTACGGCGACGCGCGCGCATACCAGAAACCGGAGACTTTTTTTTTGGCCTTACTTATTGTTATGAGAGTTTTGTAATGGTTGTTATTCTTTATGAATATTGAATAAGTTGAAAATAAATTAACTGAATTGAACTGAACTTGAACAATAACATCATCATTTAGAATTCCTCGTTTGAACTTATTATTACGTACAATTTTAGAAATACGCTCCGATCCGAAGCCCTGCGGTTAGCAAGCCAGCCGTTTTCCTCCAACACTGATAATTCTTCAATGGAAATTGAATTATTCCTAAATCGTCCGTCATTTTTCTATATTTTCTAAAAGGTACAATAGTTTTCAACCCTCAAAACGATGGACAGTTGAGTTACGATATAAAACAGGCACTTAAAGTGAGTGTGAAATCAATGCGAAAATCAATCCTTGGGGCATATGGCGTTCTTGATAAAGCTAAGAAGTTCATGTCACATTCGCAACTCTCATGAAACGTTTACTTGACACTGTTCGGGTTTTTTTTTCTTCAAACTGCTCTTAGTTTGGAAAGGGAAATGTGTCCTTATCAGAAAAACAACATTTAAACCAGATATCAATCGGAAAGGGAAACTATTAAATCATTGAAACTCAAAACTGTAATGTTCTCAGTTTGGAGAGTTCAATGCCAAATTTGTTTAATGTATTAACAGTCAGAGGTGGAAACTTTGAAACGATTCGCCTTGAGCCATTGTATGAAGCCACAGATACAACAGATTGATAATCTCATTGAAGTATCAATTAAAACGTTTTCTTTTTCATCTGTGGGGACTGTGGCTGGGTTCCTGAGATAAAATCATTGACAACGTTACAAGGGATATATTTATGGACCTACAGTTTGGATTAGACAGTGAATACATTTCCTGAAATTCATTAAAAAAAAAACATTCGTCACACTTTTGAGATGACTGTGGATCGTTTCTCATCCTCCATTTTAATGGAGGGCGCTCAGTGTGTTACCTCCCGAGTGAAAGTTGGAAAAATCACTCGGGTGGGACTCGAACCCACGACCTCCTGCTTTCTAGTGCAGACGTCTTTATACCAGTCGATCACCGAGCTAACGGGATCGGTTGGCTGGTTCGAATCTAATGTACATAGCAGCGGGTACCGCATAAACTATTAATAAGATGGAATTTTGCGTCGGCGTGATGTAAATCAAATTAGGTTTTGCCCTTCACCGACGTATAAACACTGTATACTCAATGTGTTACCTCCCGAGTGAAAGTTGGGGGTCTGGGTTCGAGTCCCACCCGAGTGATTTTTCCAACTGTCACTCGGGAGGTAACACACTGAGAAAACAGTGTTTATACGTCGATGAAGGGCAAAACCTAATTTGATTTACATCACCCTGCCGCAAAATCTTATTGAGAGTTCATTAAAGGGGAATATACATCATTTGCTTTTGCTGTAATTTTCAGAAATGGATAGAATTGGGGAATTGGAAATATATAGCAAATATAGTTACACTGACTTTTTTTTTAGGTTTTGGGTTTGAAAAAGCTATAAAAACCAAGAAAAACAATCATTTTCCTGTAGTCTGGTTCCCTGACTCCATATAAGAAGAAACAGAGCAGTTTATATACATTGGGGAATTGTAAGGTCAGGGAACCAGTCTAGCTGGCTCGTACCTGTTCATAGGTTTGTAATCGATTGCAAACAAGTGCGATGGTCCATTGGGGCCAGTATTTGAAAAAAAGCCATTGTTTTTCCAACGCTGATCGGCCGATCAGCGTTGAATGAAGTCCAGAATTCAAGGAATTTAAAATGTATAATAAGGATTATTTTAGAACATGTTGGAATTATAATGTAATCTTTTGGAATACATAATTAGTATGTATTGAACGCTTTCAAACTGGGGAAGGGGGCAACACCAAAAAGGGGCACTTGCTCAGAAAAAGGGGCACCTTCCGTCAGTGTGAAAGTGGCGCGCCTGGAATATGGTCCCGTTCATTTCGCTATCCTATATGACGAGGAACAAATTAAGAATACGTTGTCCATTTTGCTCTTTGTGTTTCTGTTACCTATAGCCTAGTTATGTAGCAAGACCATTTTTTTTTTATCGCGAGCTATACAGAGGGGCACTGTTACTTTTAATGGCCAGTTCAGTGACAATTTTATGCGCGTGAAGAGCACTATTACTTTTAGGGGCCAATTTTCCATCTCGAGAGGGGCACAAGTTTATTATTGCGAGAGGGGCGTTTGTGCTTTCGAGGGTATAATTATCCATTTTACATAACTTGTGCACAATCTTGTTAATGCGAGAGGGGTTCTTGTGTTTTTGAGGGGCAGTTGTTTTTTTTACAAGAGAGGAGACAATTTTTGTAGCGCGATTTATGCTTTTATAATTGTGTGTGCGTTTGAGGGGCAGTTTTGTTTCATCTCGCTCGGGAGGCACATTAATTGTTGGCCTGGCCGCCTGTTCCCGCCGCCTCTGTTCATATGGGATCTTACAGGACTGGCTATCAGCTAACTTACCACTGACATACAATGTCTTATGAACATTTACCATAAGATCCGTGAATTTGGCCCTAATAAGGCCGAAAACAGTCTCCGGTTTCTGGTATGGAGCTTGCCTCAATAGTGGTGCTTTACTTGTTTTCTTCAAAAATATTGTCGGCTGATGTTGCAGATGACGCTTCGATCCCCTTAAAACTCTGAGCTTGAGCTGACCTCATGAAGGCGGAGTCCGCTCGTAAGTCCGACGCCTCATAAGTCCGACAATGGACAAACGCTGTTTCGGACTTTTTAGGCGTCGGAGCTAGTATGGGGTGTCGGATTTATGCGGCGTCGGACCTATGAGGCGGAATAAATAAATTGTATGCCTCATACGTCCGACACCTAATAAAGACCGACGCCTCATAAGTCCGAAATTTCGGATAGTGCAGACAAAAATCAGAGAAAACGATAGCGAACATGAGCTGCCAGGCTGGTCATTAGTCTGCTCCCTTACATACTGCGGTAATTAAAAACGTTTACAGGTTCCAGATACACGGCCATTGCTCCCTCAGACTGGCTTCCAGACGCACAAATAAATTACAACACCGTCTTTTCAATAAATGGTGCCCGACTAAAATAATGAAGTGCAAAATATATGGGAGGCTAGAGAGTCCACAGAAGCTTATACTCGATCGTAACCCCATTTAAAAGCACGTTAAAATTGTGCAGCAGCAGATTTCAAGTCAAACCAGTGAGTTTGGCGGTTTTGAGACATATCATCTTACATTGAAAAACAACTTTTTAATTTTCCCGACGCGCATGGCTACGGCGACGCGTGCAGACCAGAAACCGGAGACTTTTTTTTGGGGGGGGGCCTGATATACCTTTTTTCCCGACGCAAAATGTTTGTAAAGCTGACGGCAGGCACAGACCTCTCATACAACCAACATTGTTTAGTAGTTTTCTCGAAAATGTACCTAACATTTACCTTCGAGTTTCCTATAATCTACCCACAAACTACGTAAGTTACGTTTGTTGAACAGTGGTTTTGAGAAAAACGGGTTTTAAGTTGGTCACTTTTCCGAAAGTTTGTCTGGATGATTTTGCTTCACGCCGTACGCGCGCATACCTTAATGGCAGACATTGTCTGACATTAAGGTGGTGAAGCAAAATCGGCGTGAAGCAAAATCATTTAGTGCGGAGTGCTATTCGTCCTTTCGTGAAAACACTGACGAATTGCAAAGTCCACTACCACGACTGAAATTTGCACTTTAACGGTTTTTCCCAAATGTACTTACTTTTTCGACGAGAATAGAGTTTATGAAAGGTTAAATTACATTTATTCAGATGTAATACTCTTGAAAATTGATGGGCTTGCGTGTTTCTGACCGCTGCTCCATACGATACATTATCGGATTAAACGTGACAGCAGCAAGTAATCAGTGGCGTAGCCAGGAATTTTTCAGTAAGGGGGAGGGGGGGGGGGGGACTGGCGCTAGGGGGGCTGGAACATTTCATGGGGGGAGGGGCGTCATGTAGATCAATGATAATTCTTTTAGAAACTCAAAAATCTCAGTGGGGGGCGACTGGGGGACGACAAGGTTTCATGTGGGGGCTGTCGCCCCCACGCCCCCCGTGGCTACGCCACTGCAAGTAATTATTAAATGGTAAATTCTGAAACCCTCGAAAGATTAATAGCTTTCGCGTACTGAATTCCGAAAGATTGGAACTGCCGGGTCATCGTCCTCCTACCCCCGCGATGGGGACTGGCAATTAACAGATGGCGCTTGTGGTGTACACGTCTTTTGGGGGTTAATATTAATAATAATTTGGGAGGCTATTTAATCAGCTTAAGTCGCAGCTGAGATGCTGAATTGCGAAGGACGCGGCTACAACGTGGGCGGGCCGCTGGCACGTAAAGGCGCCTCTGGCTGCCGGCCACATCGACCCATTATGACCACGGAGCACAGCCTGAGATGGAAAGTGTTTGATTTTTCCGGAGGGAGGAAAACCGAAGGGCCCGGAGAAAAACCCTCGTGGCACAGGAGAGAACCAAAGCACAACTCTAATCACATGTGATTCGCGGCCAGGATTCGGACCGTGGTCACCTTGGTGAGAGGCGAGCGCTTTACGTACAAGCCACCCATGCCACAGATTTTCAAATTGAATTGATAATGATCTAGCACTGTTATGAGCTTTTCAATGAGCTATCGCACGAAAAAAATAGGCCCAAGACAACTAACCAATTAATAAATTTCAAATTCTGAAATAGGGGCGGGACGCTGCTAATTCGTTCTGAATACTGTTCGCAATTTCTGAACTGGAGCGCCCCTTTTAAAACCAATTTAAGGCCTGAAAAAAAAACCCAAAGAAGCAATTAGCAACGTATACATGTATACCAACTTTAATATCGTCATTATTAAACAGTGCCACGACTCATGAGATATTGCCAGTGTCATTTGTTCGGAGAATTCAATTCCAAATCATTAACAATTAATGACACGTTTCACAAAGCGACAATTGGGGAAAAAAGTTTCATTTTCCTGAATTCAAGAATAAAAAACGGTCTTCAGTACAACCATCACAAAGCCTGAAAATCAATGATTGAAAATTAATCCTTCAAGTTTTGCAAAACCACTTTTGCCCGCCCACAGAGTTACTTCATATTCCTTCAACCGAAACTATGGCACATTAAAGAATGAAACCACCAAATTAACACCTTACTCGGCTGTGAGTAAATGATACCCTCGAGCATCCTGTGAAACCTTTGCGCCTGATTTGTCTTCATTTTCAACAAAAGTGGACTTTTGTATCATTTTGCAACAATGGCTTGGCCAAACCATCGTTGGAAAAAAGGTTTTTTTTTTCAAATACTGCCACCAATTGACAAAATTTAGTTAGTCCAGAGTTTGCTTGCAGTCCGTTACATCTGTGAATGGGTGTAAGCCAGCTAGTCTGGTTCCCTGACCTGACAATTCTATGACGTCTATAAATTGTTCCATTTTGACTGAAGTGTTGGTTTTGGGAACCAGACTGCAAAACAAAAACAATAATTTTTTCATGTATTTTCTGGCATCCATGAACACGAAACTTTAAACAGATCAAAGGCGATAAAATACTAATGCCCAAAATCCGTCCCAAAAACCTGTCCATTTCTGAAAATTACAGCAAAAGCAAATGTTGTACATCACCTTTAACACACAAAAGGTTTCAAACAAAAAAATTATAACTTGTACAATGTGGATTGGCATTTATTAAAATCAAAACATTGGCTTAAAATTAAAAAAAAAATACTTATAATACAAATCTTTCCATATTGTTTAAATAAAATTCAAAAACAAATTGTCACAGCCTAGATATATTCACAGGACAGACTTGAAGTGTAGGCATTTGTGGATGAGCCGAGGTTTGTGCCTTCAAAATGCAGTTTAATTGCAAGAAGTTTGTGAAATTGCAAGAAGTTTGTGAAAACAATGAATACCACAATAAGCGGCTTAGTGTAGACAAGAATTGCGATTCTGAGCAGAACCAGAGGTATAACGTTTCAGTCCATATGCTCCCACTGTTATATGAGGAGACCAGAGCATACTAGCTGAAACGTCAAGTAAACACCTGTTGTTCTCGCACATTTCGTTTGGGATTAGTACTTTTATGTGGTGAATTCCCAATCACAACCTTCTGTTAAAACAAGAAGAGACTAGTGCAGGGGCCTAAATCCCGGAGGGGGGAGGGAGGTACATATACCTCCCAATAGGGGATGGGCTATTGAATCATCGCCCCCATTTTTTTTAGATTTTGAGATATTTGTTGAACATCCCAACAACCAAATGTATTCAATAGCACTGAAAAGTGGAGAAACAAAGTACAAAATCTTTGAAAATGCGCCTTTTTGATGTAAGTGCAAGTATACATATTGATATACATCTATATCCTGAAGAGCGCCCCCTAGTGTAATGTGGTGTCCAGCCCCCCCCCCCCCCTTCCCGCTTTTCAAATTTCCATCGCAGGGCACTTTTTATATTTTGGTCATCCCCATCCCCCCCCGGCACAGATTACTACCACTGATCTAGTGACACACCCTTACAGGATGATATCAGTGGGTGAGACCTCTGCACTCATTGGGAAGCATTCCCGTAAGACAGCCAAAAACTATTGACGAGTGTGTAGAGCTCAGATATATTAAAAGTGGCACAATGTCATACCAACAGAATTCATTATCCAGATGTGACAAATATTGTTTGGGATTCCAAGTTAATTTTTGGCGGGTCTGACAAACTTATGAACTATATCTCTTAGGGTTCCAGCAGACTCGGTAAGCACACACTTTATTCTGTTGCAATCCCAAACTGTGGTGGGATTTAAGGATCCCTCTGAAGACTGAATGAGCTGCTTTAATATCCATCATCAGTCCATGGTAAAAATCCTGGATGCGATATCTGACACTAACCAGTCAATACCTTGAAGTAAGTTGTCGCCGGTGACGGCACTGCAGCCAATTATCAGCCAGTGGTGAGTCTTGATGTCATCAAGCTCTAATGTCTGCAAGAGAAAAAAACATTGCATTCATTTGCGGCCAATACTAGATCTTATTCGTGAGCGAATTTGTGGTAAAAACAGACACGAATTCAAGTTTATTGTAGTAAGCTTACATACAGCTACAGTTAAAAAACAAAACAATTCTCCATTTTTATTTGTTGAGACTTTTGAAGTAGAAGTACTGAACTGCTTCAAAGAACAGGATTTTTTCTGGCGTCTGCACTCAGAAAATGGTATTATAGCGCCCTCATTCCTTGGCAAAGGTTTAATTTTATGAGAAATGAATGCGTACACTTTCTATCAATTTCTGATCAAACAGAGACCAAACAAACCAGGACTCAAACCTTTTTTTCACCAGAACTGACCAATACATGTAGTAAGTAAATGAATCTGGGCACCCTAAGGTCAAACTATGTCTGCATTAACTTTCTCAGGATGCTTTGAAAGAAAATACATGTGTTTGGCTTTGATTGCCATGACAACAAAAAACATTCCCCCATTTCCATGGTCCAATATCGGACCCCCAAATTCATTTAGATCCTCAGAGCGGGGAATCTTGGATTCCATAATGCTCATTTCTGGGTGCTCACAAAATTCCAGAAGTTTACCAACACCACAACCAAACTGCCAACTGCAAGCTTAATGGTGACACCAAAGTCAGCCAACGAATAATCTGAAAACAATCTAAAAGCTGACATCTGATGAACTAACCTGTCTAATGTCATCTGCAGGTAAGGATCCGGGTAAATCCTGTTTGTTAGCAAATACTAATAGAGTAGCTCCCGCTAATCTCTGGAAAAAAAGGGGGGAAAAAAGCAAACATACTCGGACTTTAATACATGTCACATCAGCTTTGAATATGGTGTTTTCAAGTTGTTATGGTTTGATACGTGATAACCCGCCGCCGCACGAGGGCGTTATCACGACCAACCAGCATCACACGCAAACTCATCCGGAAATTTGTAAAATCTCCCCTGAAAAGTAGGGGAAACAAGAGCGCACGCATTACCTCTGTAGGCAATTACGGTCCATTTTCAGTTCCATGTACACTGCACACCACAAACTAGCTGACAGAAATTTAAGAGTTTGGTTCGGAACTACAGTGAAATGTTTTGAATGCGCGCTGCATGTATTAGGCCAAACAGGTGCACGCCCATTACACAACCGATACAAATTTCTCAAGACGTTTTACCTGACGGGCTCGTGGGTGTTATTGGTTGGTCGTGATAACGCCCTCTCGCGGCGGCGGGGTTATCGCGTATCAAACCATAACAACCTCTAGCCCTAGACTACAAATCTGGTGACACAGGAGAGAATCAACAGGTGAGTCTACTTACATATAGTCTGAGCCGGGTCGCAAACCCGGGCCATGAACCCGGGCGACAGTGGTGAGAGGCGAGCACTTTGCACTCAAGCCACTCTAACACCTGTACATACCTCTTCCAGAAGCAGGGAATGAAGCTCCTGTTTACAATCTAATAGTCTCCTCCTATCAGCGCTGTCAACGACCCAAATCAAGCCATCTGTACTCTCAAAGTAGTTCCTCCAGTACGATCGTAGTGACTTCTGGCCGCCAACATCCCACACATTCAGCTTAAAGCTGAAAGGAATAACAGCAAGATGGTTTGAGTACAATCTCAAGCTTTCAAGCAGACCAAGGTAAGAAAGAAGGACAAAAGTAAGATCAAAATATAAAAAAAAAAAAAGGACAAAAGTGGGACTTTGGAGGACAAAATCAAGATAAAGTAGGACTTTTGCAGGCTTTCAGGAGTAGTTTTCGTTGATACACACCAATGTCCACAACACCATAGGCTTCACTAGGCATGTTCTGTACTCATAACACTTGTACTGCGTCCAAGCCCTTCATGGTATGATTTACATATGACAGTGTGTAACACTGTTATGAAAAAAGTGAAAATTGGGAAAGTGGGACAAAAAAGTAGGAAACAATAGGAAAAAGTTGGAATTTCAAGAAAAAAGTAGGAAAAGTAGGAGCAAGGTAAAAAAATAAAATAAGAAAAAGTAGGAAAAGTTGGAATACTTGAAAGCCTGCAATCTACTGGTTGTTTTAATCCTAATCCTCCAGGCTGAATATAAGTCCGTCTGGAAACCCTGCCAAATGCGACAACACACAGTCATGAACACAACTGGAGCCACAAAAGATTGTTTAGTGCAGTGGTCAATTGTTTAAAGGGATTTACAGTTGCCAATGCTTGGTATGATTGTACGTGAAAAAAGAGGATGTTTGTTATATCGAAATGTTTGGTAGGGCAGTGTTCTTCATAGTGATGCTTGACTGTAGCGGGTTCTACACGTACTGCCTAGATCCTGCAAAAATCCTCCACAAAATGCCTCACGGGTCAGCGAGGGTAAGTGTTGATGGCAAACTTACTTTATACCCAACATCATGTTTTCTTTACTCACCCTCTGTGCTCCAATGTTTTGATGTTGAACCCGAGGGTTGGAGAGATCGTACTGATGTCTTCCCCGTTGAATTTCTTTAGAATTGTTGTCTTGCCAGCATTGTCCAGTCCACTTTGATTTATTAGCAAGGTTAAGGTTCTTCACAGGGCAAAAATCTTGTCAGACGACTGTTTAAATAAAATGACATTTGTATCGATTAAGTGTGATTTGCAGTTGAAAGTCACAAACAGGTGAAATTAAATATCAGGTTTTGTGCCCTTCACCGACATATAAACACATACCTCTCGAGTGAAAGTTGAAAAAGAAACTCACTCGGGTGGGACTCGAACCCGCGACCTCCTGCTTTCTAGTGCAGACGTCTTACCATTCAACCATCAAGCTTGCAGGATCGGTTGGCTGGTTCGAATCTAATGTACATGTAGCAGCGGGTACCGCAATTAAACTATTCATCATGAATAGTTGAAATTTAGCTTAAATATGATCTTACTTACGCAGTGACTACAGTCATGGCAGCCGACCATAACATGCACACGACAGTTGTCAACAGAACTTTATGTCCCTTAAAAACAAGGCAGTGGATATTTGGCCAGAGCCGGTTTTCTTTCAGTAAATGTTATTTTCCAGCAAGCTTTTGCTGATTGGCTGATACATAGTCACGTCATGTTGGCTGCACCGGCTTTCTTTTAGTATGCTAAATACTAGTTCTGTCTGAAGACTAAAAGGCATCCTTCTAAAAAAAAACATCCTTCTGTGCCATAAATCAGAGCGAAAAGACTGAATAAGCCACCAAAATCATCAATTATTTTTCATATTTTTGTAACTTTTTTTCTGTTTTAAGTCAATTATTAGCTTTGTGAATGACTGCTGCACGGTACGAGGTATGTTTCATGTCATGTGGATTTGAATAACAGGGGAAAAGGACAATTTTTGTGGAGTCTGTTTTTTTTATGGACTCTGCCATTTTCAATCCACTATGTACAACGTAGTTTTGTCTCCAGCTCTAAATGTCGATTCTTGATGAGCATTGGCACTGGAGTTCCTCTAGCCCCATAAATGTGGCTGAAATACTGGACTACCTCCGTATGTTCAGCCATGTATGCCCTGTGTGTGGAAGGTCCAGTTGCTAGGGGAGCAAAAAATCAAATCAAGATGTGAATAATTTTTTCACTTGATAATCACCCAGTCCATGCATAAGTATGACTGCTAATATTTATAAGCCAAAAAAACGTTGAATTCCGCACCTTCGGAGGCCTATTACTAGTAAGTAGTTATCCTGTAATTTCGAGCAAAAGTCGGACCCCTTTTGGGCAGAATAGAATCCATCGCGTACTCATGTTTCTGAATCTGCTTGAGGTCAGGGGTCATGATGATACTCGTGGTTACCACCGCGCGTGCACCAACTTTACCAACGTAATGTCAATTGCTGTGGCTGTTGCCTAGTCATTCAAGTCACAGTCAACAGCGCATGCATGCGGGCGCACTTCAAAAGTTCAGACCGATTGATTACAAATCTTGATTTGATTTTCTGCTCCCCTAGCAACTGGACCTTCCAGGCACAGGGTATATGGAGTAAACGTGGCTGAACATACGAAGGTAGTCCAGTATTTCAGCCAATATGGGGTAGAGTTCCTCAAGCTAGCATGCTACTTCTTTGCTAGGTAAAAAATAGCTTGAGCAACTCCAGCTGACTGCTCTGATCTCTGATGTAACATGTGAATTCCTGAGCATGTCAGCTGGAGTTACTCTGAAAGCTAGGTAAAAATTAGACCCGTGAACGTGGCTTTGTTGTATATAACGCCACGTTCACGGGTCTAGGTAAAAATATGATGAATGAAGTCTGAATTATGAAATGAATGATGAAGTCGGGTCCTACTAAAGCGCGTCAACAAGCGTCAACAAGCGTCAACAAGTTTTAGTAGTCGTTAAGTGCGCGTCAACAAATTTTGTATAGGCCTTTGAACAATAAAAACAGCTTTATATGGTAGAAACAGCAATAATGAACATCTTCTGCATATCAATTAAAGTTAAAATTATTTTAAAACTTGGTTTTTTGAACGCGAAATGTACGACGAATTTGTCGATAGAAGTAGGCCGCCATCTTGTTTGGATGGTGCTGTAGACTTCGCGCATGCGTAGTATGGCTCTTTACACTTCACGCATGCGTAGTACGGCTAGCTACACATAAACAAGATGGCGGCCAACTTTTATCGACAAATTCGTCATACATTTCGCGTTCAAAAAACCAAGTTTTAAAATAATTTTAACTTTAATTGATATGCAGAAGATGTTCATTAACATTATTGCTGTTTCTACCATATAAAGCTGTTTTTATTGTTCAAAAGCCTATAAAAATTTGTTGACGCGCACTTAACGACTACTAAAACTTGTTGACGCTTGTTGACGCTTGTTGACGCTTGTTGACGCTTGTTGACGCTTGTTGACGCTTGTTGACGCTTGTTGACGCTTGTTGACGCGCTTTAGTAGGACCGATGAAGTCTGATGAAGTCTAGGGCGGCCTACTTAAAACTTTATTATTTCTTTATCATAACAAAAGGATACAGCATTAGAAGTCGAACTTCCTTTTCCTTCTGTTTCATCTTCTTCAAAATTGTCAACAATCCCATGTTGAGGGAAGGTGTGTGGCCGTTAATTGTTGACAAATCACTGACCAAAATAGCCGTATTCTAGTTTTTCTCGATATCTAGCCAACCGGTAAAGTTGTATAGCGCCACCAAGTGATCAAATAAAAACTAACGTCGCTCGTCTGGTTTACAGCCACAAGTGCAATGTTTAAAACTAAGGTACACATTGCGTCGGGAGCCACACTTCGTCGTGTGACCTTATTTTGAGGTCAATTTTATTGAGATTCTGCTGTGCTGGAGTGAAGTTCTACAGACATGGCATCTTCAACGAAGTCAAAAAATACTTGGATCAGAAGTTTCACCGTCACAGACCCCACCAAACACGAAAAGGGATTTACTGTTTACAAAGTGACATACAGGGTATGTAATAATTCGTGAAGCTTAGTCGAATATTACTTAGGGAGATTAGGAATAGGAACTAGGATTAGGAACTAGGGATTTCCTCACTGTCACTGACGAAATAATCAGTGAACTGGGGGGGGGGGGGGTGCGGGCCGGGGGGGGGGAGGAGGAGTGAGGGCGGGGGGGGGGGGGAGGGGGAGGGGGAACAATTGCTAGACGCATTGTTCTAATGCACCTATCAATTATTTTCTCCCTAAAGTAAATTTAGGGCCTAAGTCTAAGAGAAAAGACACGAGAGAGGTTTCGTCAATTAAAGTGGTTATTTTAAGGAGGCTGTACAGTGTAAGTGTAACATGGTTTTCAACGGCTATATTGCAACATAAAAATTAAAATTGCGAATGTAGCAATTTAACATTGCAAATACTGCTACAAATTTATTGACTTGTTTTCTTTAGTTTTCCAAAATATATTTTTATTTGATAGTGGATATTTTGCCGGAGGTAATGACGGCAAACTAACGTTTACTAAAGGTTTGCCGGCGGCAATCCATATCAGAGGGCGCTGTACTCTTTAAGATAGGGCTGAATTATAAGATGTATTAAATTCCCATCAAAAGTTGTGTAGCACGTTTGGTGTAGTGGTTAAATAAAGGCTTTGGTGAGCGGGATGACTCGGGTTCGATCCCGATCCCCGCCACATTTTAAAGTTTTTTTTCCCATCCCCAAATAAATAAGAATATTCTTCTTTTATTATTTTAACATGTCTCAAACATTTTATTGCAGAGTATTACATTTTCTTTTTCAGCTTTGTGGCTCTGGAGGATTTTTTTTAAAGGGAAATAAAGTCCGAAATAATAAAATGGTCTGAATCCCATCTTGTGAATACGAGATTACAACGATAATATTGGCATGGAGCCAGACTAAAATTTATCACCGGAAAATGTTTAAGTACCAAAAAACAGTAACTGCGCATGTTCAGTGCATATCCGGCAAACTAACGTTTACTAAAGGTTTGCCGTCTCCGGCAAAATATCCACTGCCTTTTTATTTATGTCTTTCTCGCTTGAAATAAAATCCTACTTTTTATGAAACTAAACTTAATTTTTGTTTTTCAATTGTGGCTTTGCTCTCTGAAGTAAAGGATGCCGGGATTTCTTTTGAAAGAGCTAGTACATTTTTTTTCCGAGAAGTATTTTGTTGACAACTAATGAATACACAACAGTCAACTTCCCTGAAAATAGCAAAACAGCGTGAAAGAAGTCCTGAGATTTCTTGTTATGTTGTTTTTTGGAGGAACTAATCTTCAGAGTAGGGGTATTATTGCAAAAATCTTTCCATAATTTCAGTTCACTGCATAACCACCTGATGCTCTGTTTTTATTTGTTGTTGTGGGTTGTTTCATGCAGGCGTTCTCCCTGGCAAAACCTGAAGAAATAGTTGAGGTGAGAAAAGCCTACTTATTCCATTGACATGTATATTTTTCTGTTCCAATATCTTAAAGTGTTTTCCTTCGCTCTAAGTCTTAGAAATATGGATGACACTTTATCACAAAGTTATAGCAGCTCCTTTTTAAGTTTAATGAGTTTTACATATTTTTGTAAAGGTGTTGACTTTTTGTTCTTACAAATGCTTCCAGTGCACTACCTTTCCCAAGTTTTATGTCATGATGTAGATTTATGACTAAATATTGAATGCTGGCACAATTCCATTGAAATCTTAACCAATCATTTGTCATGTTCCATTTCTGCATTTCAGACGGTGGTTTGGAAGCGCTACAATGATTTTAAGAAGCTGCACAAGGCACTCGCCCAGCTGCATTTCAACCTACGCAGGCCTGAAAAGTTTCCCGTCTTCGCCAAAGCAAAATTCTTTGGTAATCCTCTGCTAACAAGACAGATTTACTCCTATCCACAGCCTTGCCTTCTGTGGTCTTGTATAATGCCCCAACTGTAGCAATGGCCGTGACTATAGTGGGGACAGCCCCAACTATAGTTGGGGCTGTAAAACCTATGGTTTGGGCAACCCTGACTATAGTGGGGACAGCCCAAACTATAGTTAGAGTTGTTCCAACTATGGTTTGGACCGTTTCAACAGCGATTGTGTAGTAACGGGCATTCCTTGAAGAGAATGAAAATCTACTTTTAGTTTATTTGACTCCCGCATGTAGTTAGCGACGTTTGAAACCAACAAGAATATTTATTTCTATGCTTTCAAAAATATAAATGATACAATTACGAAAAACACTTAATATCGTGAATTGAGGGTGGGGTTTTGATTTTTGAGGGAAATTTTGGGGTAGAACTACAAAAACGCAACATGAAAATAAAAGTGGGGATCACCGGGAATTGCTGTGAATGTGTAAAACTACGTTTAAAAATGCGTAAGAAAATTTCATTTTCCACCACAAAATACTCTTCAAATTTACAAGAAAACAAGGTCAAGAAGACTGCTTAAGGTTGCAGGAAGTCATTTTGGAATGATGAACACTCCTTAGGACTAAAACAAAAGAGGGGCCCGTCACTATACAGTCAGTGTTTTAACTGTAATTGGGACAGTGCTGTAGTTGGGACGTAACAAACTGGACATGCATCCTCCCAACACAGACCTAAAAAAATTGAGGTATCTCAAAAACTATTTGCCAGACGGAATGTATCTTGTTTTAAACTTCACATAAATGTTTTCTTGTTACACCATGGTGCTACATTGTTAAATTTTACTGTTTGGGTACTGTTTACATATTTCAAAAGTTGCCGTGTAACTAGTTAATGCACTTTGCTGGTACATAACTCACATAACCTACTCATAGAGGACACACCTTGATTGTCCTTTAAATGTTTCAATGTTATTCTCCTCACAGCCAACAGCTTTATTTCAAAAAGACATTACAGAAAATTCTTTTGTGTCAACCTTTTGATGTAAACACAAGCATTTTTATGGAAGGGGGGGGGGATGGGATTTGCCTCCACAACAGTATTACCTTGGTAACACAGTCTGTCATTAGTAGGTCAATCGTTTGATCCCTTGCCAAATTCAGCACCTAATTCAGATCTTTCATTCCAGGAAATATCATCCTGTTTTTTTTCTTTTACAAAGGTCGATTTGATGATGATGTCGTTGAAGAGAGACGTCAAAGTGCCCTCAAACTGCTGGAGTTTGTGGCCAAAATCACTCCTCTTACACGCAATCATTTCTTTCGGAATTTCTTCGCGGTGAGATATACAGACTTTCTCAGCATCTTGCACATGGTTTCAGTTAGGAATAGACTCCCCTTGATATTTTTACCAATGAGAGTCATGACTGTGCAAATATCCAACTAAAGTCCAACACGTGTGCACCAGTGAGGCATGATGCGCACAGCTTGAACATGCAGTGTTGCATTGGAAAGATGCATTGACGAGCGCATCGTTGGCAAATAGACCGATTCATTAGGCCCCGCCCACTGTGCTTACGGGCAATAACCTGTGCCCCTCTCCTACATGTATATGCCTTACTGCATGTTCCAGATGCGCGCATCATATGGGAGTGCAGCATGTTGAACAGTTGTGCACGCACGACGGACGTAAATCACAGCTGTGATAGGTCAAAGGTCACGGGGCGGGGCGTAGTGTATTGGTCTATCTGGTTCATTAGTAAAAACGTCATACACGAGCGGGCACCCCTGATTACTAGCGTCCATTGGATAAACACTCAAGTTACGTTAGCTTCCGGTTCCAATGGTTCCAGTGCTACTTAATGGCCAGTGGGCGTGGTTTAAACTGAACCGACGTCACAATAACGAACCAGATTGACATGTCACATAGGAACCAAAAATATTTGAATAACCTAAAAGCGAGATTCATTCTGCTTGACTTGTAAACATACATGCATAGTAACTAGGCCAATCAGACCATTGGGAAGGCAGCTTTGTGAAAGCAGTTAGCAACCAATAAGATTTCAGAAGCCACTAGGACTTTGCCTATCCTCACTGGTACCCTCTTCATTTGAATATTAGGCTTTTGTCATATTTAGCACATGGCTGGTAAGAACTGGCATAGGGCAAAGTTAGAAAAAGTTATGAGTTTGGGGTGGGGGTTGGGGTGCCTTCATTTAAAGTAAAGCCAGTTATTATCATTACTGACTCCATTAAAATTCCAGCAAAACTAAGAATGAGGCTTTGGTAAATAAGGTACCCAGAAATGATATTTTCTTTCAATTCATCACTGTCATTGAAAACAGAAACATGTGTAAAAACATTATTACATCTGCCACGATGATAGCTTAACTAGGTTGATATTTGTTTCTTCAAGGGAGGAGAGGAGGTCTCAATAAATCAGTCCGCGCCGGCACCCATCCTGCAGCCCAAGGTTCTCCTCCCCAGCCCTTCTAATGGTACGTCCCATGCAAGAAGTCCACCCAGGTGTGATTCGGCATCTACTACTCCTACCGAGGGGAGAGAGCAGGGTTCCTCAGAGGGGCTGGCCAGCAGCCCATCTCTGGGCGGGGTGTGGCTTCACAGGCAAAATGAAGAGGACATCACAGCCTATGAGGCGGTTGACTATGACAATGACGATGATGATGATGATCGGACGACGTTCAGTGAAGATTCGGTGCCATCCACGCCACTCCCACAGCTACAAAACATGTCATTCTTTGATCCCCTCTCAGATACAGGTAAAGATTTCTTGAATGGATTGTCACTGGAAAAGCGGGAAGGGGGGGGGGAGAGAGAATAGTACATATTTCTGCGAGATGAATAGTGAGAGAACTGAGTTTTACAAAAAATGACATTCCGTGTACACCACTATTTTCCAGTTACAGATGCGTATACGTTTGGTGGAGGCTGGCTCACTGTTCTTTTCTTCTTTGTAGAGGGAGAAGTTTCTTAGTTTTGTCAGAAAATTGTTCTTACTTTACCCTCGTACCCATTAGTGCTTGTTAGCAGATTGAGGGGAATATAAAGGTATGTGTTCTTAAAAACTGGCACATTAAATTCAGCTCACCTGTAACTTGGGCTGTTGAAATTAGCACAGCTTATTCTTAATTTTCCTTTGAAAAATGTGCCCTCGGGCAACACTATCTGCAAGAGGACACAAAACCCACTAAGAGAGAAATCCAGGGTCTCTCAGTGCAAGGTACAGGAAATAATCTGTGGTTTTTTTTCATGTGCTGCACGCCATATTTTAGAAAATCTCACTCTCCACTTTTGACATATGAAGATAGAGGGCAAGTTGTCAAATTCAAGAACAGGCTTTGCCCAAGGTTGCAAGAGTTCAACCCAGCTCCACAGTCGCCCCATTAAAAGTCTCCCCCCCCCCCCCCTCCAAGAAAAAACCCACCATATTAACGGAACTCTTGAAAAGAGTCTTGTGCCCCGTTGACATTTGACCTTAATTTTAGTCTTTGAAGTGTCATTTCCAAGGTTCCAGGACCCTGTAGGCTTTGATGATAATGCATATTTCCATATTCATGAGCAAAACGGTGAAAACAGTGATATCAGATGTTAAACACACATGCCCCCTCTTGTTTGCGTGTGTTTCTCCGCAGAGCCATCCTCATCCATGGCGGAGCTTCCCCCAATACCCCAGAGCAACAGTTGGTTATTCCAAGCCATGGACATGTGTGCAGTCCTCAATGAGGACCCAGGGCAAGACTCGCCGGATGACTCCACACCGGCAGACTCCACCACGGATCTGTCCACCGACAGCGGTATCACCATCAACTTCCCTCAGGTAAAGTTTGGACGTCATATTTTTTTTAACCCTAACCGCCCTGAATCCTTCAAAATCCTCTTTGCCAAAGTGGAGGAATTTGAGGTTACATGGCAAAAGTGCATTACTGATTTCGTAGGATGTACTCAGTCAAGATCTTGGGCCGGACCTTGTCTTGTTTTTGCTCAGCCGTGCATAAATATAGGCCTGGATTATGCTTGAAATCCTCCATACCGCTCCAGGATGTCATTGGCCAAGCCTCAACACATTGACAGTCACTGCCACAGGATTTTGCAGGATTCAGGCAGTGGTCACCCCTCCACACACCATATTCAAGAAATAATGGAGGAATTTGCAGGATTGAGGCTACATCCTAGCCAAAAGGTCAAGGGAGTTAGGGTTAATGATGCCAGAGAGCCAGCCTAGCGTCTTTTTTGTACCTATCTCAATGACTGACTGTCACTTGTGATTTATGCTGGTTGTAGACTGGTGAAGAGAGCCGGGCAGTGCTGTCGTATAGGATTACCCCATAACGCCAATGAATGGGCTAAATCCACACATTGTGTAGACCCTGGCCCAATTTTCATGACTCTGCTTACCGTTGGCCAAAAATCCCTGCTTACTGTAACAGAAAATTCTGTGCTTACGGTAAGCGTATTTCTGGGGTTAGCGTGGAATTATACACATGCGTATGTAACAAATGATTCTGTGCTTCCAGGGTTAGCACAGAATTTTTCTGCTGGCGCGATTAGCACAAAATGTTGATCATAAACATGGAATTCTGTGGTTAGTAGAGCCATGAAATTGGGCCCAGATGCATGGCAATGAATAGCCCTTTTGAATCGATAGCAATGAAATTTTGCTCACTCTGGAACCAGCTTTAATAGACTAGCCTTGTCTTTTTTTCAACATACTGATGGCCATTTCTTTTGACAAATACCTGCCTTTTTCTCTGAATGATGCCCCCTTTGTGGTGTTATTTCCCAAAAGTAGCAAATGCAAGCTCCATGGAAATCTTAAAGATTGTGGAAACGTCTTTCTCAAATAAATATACATGTATTGAGTATATTTAACCACCAAGTGCCCGTACTTGGCTCTGATAGGTATACAAACAGCGCCCTCTACAGGTCTTGCATATACACATTGTGCCAATAACTAACATGGCTAACTCTGTTTTCTCCAATAAATTCATTTAATATAAACCCTGCACATTTGTATCATTTGCTTCTAGGGGTTCGATTCATCGACCAGTGCTGCCAGCTCCAGAGAGCAGCAGCCAGCAGGCACACCGATTCCCCCGGAGTCAACCGAAGACGTCAAGAACGAGCGTAACACCATGGCCAGGGCCTATCTAAACTGCATCCGGGCTCAGCAAGCTGCTGAGAGGGACGCTATGTACTCGGACGGTGGCATGGTGGACTCGCGCTCTCTTAATGTAAGAAGTTCTAGCTTAAGACATGTTGCATTCAGAAGCCGTCCTGGCGCAATTGCAGAATACCCCGCCACTCACCTATCCCACCTCGTATCCAGATACGCAGATACGGAGTCACGCTTGGATGCTCAACCAAAACCACACGCGTGTGCCACCCCGTATCCCCGTATCCGCGTATCCACTTCCCGGCACCTACTTTGGACTTGGACGTTTTTCCCCTGCTCCCCATTCAACTCACGTTGTCTCTGCCTTCGTTATTTTTCAACATGGATAAGGATGCTTCGTTCTCAAAAATATTTTCCTCCGCTAAAAATAAAGTCCACCCCGTATTCCCGTATCCGCGTATCCACTTCCTGGCACCTACTTTGGACTTAGATTTATTTAACCCCTGCTCCCCATTCAATTCACGTTGTCCCTGCTAGCCGCATTTCTTAATACAGGGAAATAGAGCCCTCTTTAGACCCTCCAGCGCTCAAATCCACCCCGTATATTGTATCTGCGTATCCACTTCCCGACATCTACATGTACTTTGGACATTTCTGCAACATTTTCCGACTGCGTAGCCATTTATTTTTAGGGGGTAATTTTCGCGTGGCGGGGTATTCTGCAATTACTCCGCCGTCCTTGAGTTGCTGTTTTTATAAGCTGCGTCAGAATCTTTTGTCTATACTCCAATCTGATGTTGAAATGACGGTGACGGTTCTGGTAGCCATTTCTGGGACACTTCCATGCCTGAACACCCATCACACGTGCAGTCTGTAAAGCTCTGAGCACCTCACTAAAGTGGAGTGCATTGTGTGAAATACCGAAAGGATCTTTGGAGTGTCCCAGTAATGGTGGAAAGCCACCCCAGTATACAATTTTTAAAAGTAGGCAACTCGGATTGGTCTATAGCTGTTGTCTTTGATCGTATATTGCAGTATAAGTTGCCGTAGCTCTGGAGGCCTGTTTGGGAAACAGGCTTATTTAAGCTTAGTAACACAGAATGCCTAGGAGATCTACTTGTGCATATCCTGTTGGAACAAGAGCATTTACATCAAAGATGGCTTCCATCCAAAGGATCTAGTTAGTCCCCTCATTGAAGAACAAGACTGAGAGATTGTAGGACTCTTAACCTGAACCCTCTAGGATAGTAGGGATAGAAACTCTCCTTAACACAATATGCAACACTTGTGAAAATGAGAAGCCTGCTCAATGCCACAAGATCCATCAGGCCAAACACCTCAAGGACAAAATGCCTCAGAGTTTGAGGTCACTAACTGTAGCAGGATATTGTTGTAGCATTGTTCTATGGAACTTGCTTTCATTGTCTCAGAATTCGCTATTTTTGCGCTGGTGTTGCGCTGGTGTTGATAGAGCTCAGTGCAACAGGCCCCACAGACTCTTGAACTTGATGCACTGTGCTAGTTAGGCTTAGCTGATTTTATAGCCTTGTGCCAATGCTCAGGTTTCAGATTTGTTCTTTCAGACAAGTCTAGATAACAACTCAAATCACAAGTCCATCACATACTAATTACACTTAGGATCACAAGTAGCAGGGGATGAACAAAGGACTTCCTTTGTCACAGTTAATTTGACTGGCTTGTGATTCAGGCCGTGTCCGAAACGGGCTTCCAGAGCTACGGCTACGTCTATTGTCAGCGCGTCCCCGCGTATTTTCAATGGGCGCAGACCTAGACCTAGCTCTAGACAGTTGATTCGGATGCAGCCTGACTTGCAAACTTGACTTGAGGCTGAACAACTTGTCAGAACTTGAGTTCAACTCTGTCAGGTTCGTTCCTCTGCAAACACGCTGTGGGTTTGTGCACATTTGGATGAATTTCCTTCACGCACTAGTTGTTGTGATTAGACCACACCATCAACTTTTTCTTCATGAAGTCTATAACATTGGAAAGCCAAAAAGGAGACTATCCAGTATGCAAACTGTGACCAAACTACAGTTTAATCTGTGTTTTTGATCCCAGGCCAAGCCTAGAATGGATGAGACAGGAGGCATGGGCGTGGCCCCCGTCACAGTGGGCGGAGAGGAAGACTACCTGTATCAAGCAGCATATCACATCAGTCTAGCGCTGGAGAACGAGGCTAACGGCAGCTACCAGGCGGCCTTTGACCTCTACAAGTCAGGGGTCGGCGTGCTGCTCAAAGGAGTCATAGGTAAGGGTTGGCCTGATTTTGATCTTTTTTTTAATACTGACCCACATGTAGATGATTGAGTTCAGTTTCAGCTGACTTCTCCATCTGTACCTCTATTCAGTGTTGGATGTTTTAACCCTAAGTCCCTAGGTATTTTTGCTAGGATGCAATCTCAATCCTGCAGAATCCTCCAACTGCCTCCATGTAAAAATTGCTTACAGCCTCCATCCCGCCAAACCTCCATTATATCTTGAATGTGGTCCTTGGAGGGGTGACCACTGCCTCAATCCTGCAAAATCCTCCAGCAATCACTGTCCACATGTTGAGGTGGAGCCAGTGACATTCTTATGCAGTGCGAGGGTTTCAAGTATAATGTAGGCCTAAATGTATGCATGGCTGAGCATTAACAACACAAGGTCCGGCCAAGACCTTGACACAGTGCATCCTCCAAAATCAGCCACACATTTTGCATATAGCCCCAATCCTGCAAAATCTGCCATTTTGCAAAGAGGATTGTGGAGGATTTGGGAAGGTTAGGGTTAAAGGTATGTAGGAACATTGGCAGTTACCTGGAAGCGTACATCGAGAAAATCCTTGCTCAAAGTGAAGATAAGACTGGTACCAAATACCCTGTGAAATTATTCCGCCTGGAATGGTATCATTATTGAAGAAGACAGTCATTGAAGGTTGTTTAACAAAATTATGCCCACTGGCACACTTTTGCGTGTGTTAGAAGCGGACCCAAATATTGTGCATATGTGACCTGTCATCCCAAAATGAGCTTAAAGTTGGAATTTTTAAGAATTGAGGTATATATATATCTGGATTATGCCAAACAAGAGCTTTCCAATGGTATACAACATTAAGGGGTACTGAGTTCAGTAAGAGAAATATAGACCACCAACTTACTTGAAGTTGTAAAAGTGATTCTTAAAGAAAATGGCATTTAAAAATCCTGCAGTTGTGTTACAGTGAATGGACAGTCAACTTGTAACAAACGGGATGAAAAGGGTTTTAAAGATGTTTGACAGAACAAAAAAATTGGAGAAAGGTAGCACAGGACTTACAGATTAAGATTCTCTTGAAAACAAAAAATCGACCACCCCTTCAAATTTTGGCTTTGCCCCACTGTACTGCACAATGGCAATCTCCGACTTTCAGCTCATTTCGTGGTGACAGGTCACCTATGTTTTCTCAGTTTTCAAAATGTGTAGTATCCACAGAACTGAAACTTCAACAGGTTAGTTGTTATGCGCCCTACTAAAGATTTTGAGCAATTTTGTAGTTCAAACAACAAAAATGCACAAAAAGCAAAGTATGTACTTTTGGAATGCAGTGGTATAATACATGTACATGTAATAACATATTTGTATCAATTGTACTTACAAATCAAATTTAACTAATTCAAAAGTCATGACGTGTCCCTGTAGTTGTTGGTAATCTACACCCAGATATCTAAAATGCAAATTGACAGGTATTGTGTTTGTTTCATCAGCGGATGATAATAAAACTCGGCGCGAGGCAGTTCGCAGAAAGACGGCTCAATATCTGATGAAAGCTGAGGATTTGTACAACAAGTATCTGTCAGCCGATGCTACCAATAGCAAGAGATGGGAGGTGGGTGTGCCATTAAAAAAACCAAAGAAACAAACAAATCAACCATATTTTGTGACATTTTTGTTTTCTTTTTGCCTCAAAAAGAAAAAAAATGGAAGTTCCTCTCCCGCAAAAAAAATCAAGTGTTGGCCATTGTGAAAATTTCAATTAAAAAAAGGGTTGCGAGAAAAAGGGTTGCAGATTCGGCTTTGCGTGCAACAACGTAAAGTTAAACACTTTTTGTAGAATAAAAGTAGGTTGGGACGGTTAGTGCTCACTCATTATCATACATTTCTTTTGGGGATTAATGCATACAGATAATCCAAACTGTTAGCTTGGCGCTTTTGATTTTGGTGCTTCCTAACAGCAGTCACAGTCACAAGTCCTTTTATATGTTGGTTTTTTGCCCTTTGTGTACGTATTTTTATAAACTTAATCGTTAAATTTTTATTTTTATAAATTCACTCGGGTGGAATTCGAATTCACAACCTCCTGTTTACTAGTGCAGACGTCTTACCAGTCAACCACTGAGTTGGCAGGGTCAACTGGCCCGTTCAAGTCTGATGTGACAAGAGGTACATTTGATATGACTTGCGATTGAGTTGTGACTTTTTTTTAAGATGGAGTTTATGTCGGGGAGATGTGATATTACATCAGCAAAGAGCAAAAACCCAATATAAAAATTAAATCTCCATCTTATAATAATAATAATAATAATAATACAAAGTATTTATATAGCGCTTTACAAAGAACAAAGCGCTTAACACTCATCCACAACAAAAAATAACAGGAAAGAAAAACAGACACAATACGATTACGAATGGACTAGGAACAGGTGTGTCTTTAGGAGACGTTTGAATACAGGCAGCGAGACCGCCTCTCTCAGACAAGAAGGAAGCTCATTCCACATGCGAGGGGCGGCCACAACGAAAGAGCTATCTCCGGCCTTCTTCCTACTTCTAGGGACAGAAAGCCGGGTCTGATCGGATGATGAGCGGAGTCGCTGTCTGTAAGAGTCAGGAATATTTGAGTGATGTGAATGTAATAGGTCAACCAGATATGATGGAGCTTGAGTGTTGAGAATTTTGTATACAAGGGTGAAGATTTTGAAGGCTATCCTCTGTTTAATAGGGAGCCAATGTAGCTCTGCCAGCAGGCCCTCAGATGGCTGGTCCCGGCCGCATGCGAAGACCAGCCGAGCAGCCTTGTTTTGTAGGCGCTGTAACCGTTTAAGATCTTTCTCACGAGCACCTAGCAAAAGAGAGTTCGCATAATCAAGACGGGACAGGACCAGACTTCTGACGGCGTGATGGCAGGCATCCTGTGTAATAAACCGGCGAATATGCCACAGGTTGCAGAATTGGAAATTAACAGTTTTACACAGAGAGCCAACGTGATGAGACATTGTCAAAGAAGAATCTAGTGTGACAAGTCACAAGTCACAAGTCCGTCACAAGTCATATCAAATGCATGGTAACAAGAAGAAGGGATGAACAATGGCAATGGAAAGATTGTTGTCAAAGTTTGCTTGTTTCCGTACTTAGACCGGATGACTTCTGAATGACTTGTGATTGACTTGTGAAGACTTGACTATATCCCCGCTACCGTTCCTCTTTTTTTTCCCTCTGTCTTCCTGTGTCTTAGTCTGAGCAACCTGGCATCGATGTTGACCCTCGCTCAGCTCACCTCAGAGGCCCTCAGGAGGAACTCAAGAATTACAAAGTCCTGGGCTTGATTGATAGCGTGCTGCTGGTTCTTGACACAGTCACCTATCAAACGTTTGTCATTAAGGTACACTGGGTATATCCTATGCTTTTGAGTCTCCCAGATCCCTCAAAATCCAACAAGAGGTTTGGAGGATTTTGAAGGATTTTGAAGGATTTTGAAAGTTATGGCCTGGCAACAGGTTCTTTACATGGGACACGATGCCCATCTTATGAAAATCAAGGCTTCGCCTCACCCACTTCACGGGGGAGGCAGCTTCGTCACCTGTCACCCGCTTTGTGGGCGAGTCACCCGTTTTGCTGCTGATCAATCATGAACAACCATACACACCCTTTGCGCTTTAAGGTATAGCGGTGATGTGCCATTGGGTCCATGCAAACTTGAGGATTTGGGTGGTTTAGGAAGGTTACTCGCAAAAATGCCTGGTGGGTTGGAGTTGAGTTCTCCATTTTATTGAAATAAAGCATGTAGACACACTTTAGTGTTGTGTCCAGTTCATAAATATTTATGAAGTAGGCAGCCACTTTAAGGTCACATGATCTCATCTCATCATGATCAATGGAGGGCTCTTCAGCAAGATTTAATTAGTCTTGGCTCTCACTTTCCTAACGTTCAGTACATGCTATCATTGCTCTTAGCAACTTTGATGGAGTAGAATAATTCAGCATTATACACTTAGTATTTATTAACTGATTTTTGGAATAAAGAGTTGTAATGATGAAATTGTGTTTTTTTTATCAAAAGGTTAGGTTTGGAACATTCTTCTTTGGATTTTGAGTGGTGTTATTATTGGAAATGAACAAAATTCATGAACAGCAAATGATCCTATGCCTTTAATCAAAGTACTGTGTTCCTGTGTTGTAGTTGAGTCCACCACAAGTCCTCCAGTCCCAATTCAAATCACAAGCTATTCAAATGAGCTTTGACAAAGGCATTCCTTTGTTATTGTTCATGCACTGTTACTTGTGAATGCACTTGTGATTTACTGGAGACCAGACTTGTGATGGACTCAACTACAACACGGCCATGTACCATTAAAACCCTCTTTTGAATGTTTTTCTAGGTATTGCTGAAATGTTCAACAGCCACCAAGCGATCGACCTGTGCGCCGGCCAACTGCAGGTACATGGTCAAGCCCTACCGATTCATCGAGACAGACAACGCCATCTTCATCGTCTTGGAGCATGCCAGCGGAGGGAAGCTATGGAGCTATGCCAGCGGCTTCCTGAACCACGGAGCAGAGTCCTCCTACAATCAGGCCCTGGCTGGCAGCCTGGAGAGGAAGAGCATCGGCAGTTGCGGGTCACGGAGGTCGCGTCACAGCACGGCCAGCGGCAAAGAGGACAGGAAGCTGAAGGAAGACATCTACGAGGAGAATGTGTTTCCCGAGCCGGAGCATCCTTCACCTCCAACGGAACAGTTTGGAGATTTTGTTAGCAGCTCTCAAGACGATGATGGAATGAATGCTTTCACACCGGATGCATCCCCCAGTGGGGAAAACAGTTATGCAAGTCTTGTTATTGACTATGGCATGAATTCTGCCGAGCCTGCTATACAGGATGCGCTAGAAGAAACACAAACACCTCCAGCTGTGGCAGACTCCATCTCGCGTGAGTTTGCAGATCTGGACATCCGGGACACGGAGACAAACTTGAACGATCTTGCCAACCAGTACTCGCAATATGACAACTTCTCTGGACACAGTAATGTCGGCAATAGCTTGTTGAGTGTGACTGAGCCGGGAAGAGTCAAAGTTGGTGGAATGGACAAAGCTACCACAGCCCCCATGAACTTGTTCAGCATTGATAGCCTCGAGAGTCCTGGAAGTGAATTGCACAGTGCTGGTAGTGCAGACAAAACAGTGTTTGGTTTTGGCTCAGCTCCTTCAACTCCCAAAGGAAGGCCTGAAGATGCTGATGGTGTAATTACCGACAGTCATCTTCATAGCAAAACAGGTGCAGCTGATGCGTCGGCGCATGGCACTCTTTCCACATGGGTGGACCACAATCCTGAGGATGTCATTGCGGATGCCTTGAAGGTCATGGAGGATTTGGAAGAAAATGACCAAGACGATCTTGAATTTGGCCTGGCACCTTCAAGCCGCAACCATGCGCCCTCGGAGTTTGACGAGTTCAATTCACTGCCTCCCAACGCAAGCCAAGTGCACACCCTGCCCGACACCAGCGGATTTGCATCTGCTATGACCGATGATGTGATATCTTCAAAGCCTGGTACCGACCTGGCCGAGTTTTTCGACACTGCTTTCAAAGAGGACACGGGGACGTTATCAGAGTCCAAGACAAGACCCCCTCTTGTCAGGCACAGCGCGAGTATGTATGAGAGAGGAACACACAGTGATACCTCACCGAGACACAGACAGCATTCAAATCCACTTGACTTCAGAGTCGTAAGAAGTTCATCTTTTGAAGAGGGTCAATCAGGTGACATTCTGTCATCTTTGATGCAAGTCAAGGATGAGGACCGTGGGGGCTTTGAATCTGTCTCCCTGCGGGAAGCCAAAGGCACGGCTGTCGATAAAACTAAGAGTGAGCCCAATCTTGGAGAGATGCTTGGTGAAGCGACCTCAAGTGCAACCGTGTTGAGTCAAGATGGTGGACAAGTATCCGCTACGCAATCTGAAATCACCCCCAACCAACCAAACTTAGATTTGAGCCTTGCCAAACACAGTAATCAATTGACAACAACCCAATCCCCTGCCAAGCCAACGAACAACTTATCACCGACGTCAACTCTGGAGGGCTCTGAAGCCATGATATACAGCTCATGTGAATCCACTCCCAAACACTCAATCTACTCCCCAGACTACGACAGCGGCACCGTCATGGACTCGCCTAACATGGAAAGTCCAGATCCGCACTCAGCCAACGAGCAAGATCTGCTTGGAGGCACTCATAAATATTCATATACGAGTGACACAAAGAGTACACTGGGAGATAACGATGCAACCCCAACTCATACCACCATCCCTCATCCGGAATCTACAGCATCAGCGACAAAAATCGCAAAACCCAAACCTCGTGACGCACCCCTGCCGTCCCTCACCACCCTGTTTGCCCAAATGGACGAACAGGTAACGGTCACCAAATCCAGCACCTTGCCCGAGTCTTGCGTTCGACTCTGGGCCGCTGAGATTCTCCTGGCCCTTACGGACCTACACGCCGCAGGTATCATCTGTCAAGATCTGCGTCCTGATAACATCCTGCTTGCGGAGGGTGGCCATGTCAGACTCACGTACTTCAGCCAGTGGCAGTATGTTGAGAGAACGCTATCCGCCTACGCCAAGGAGTATTTCTACACGGCGCCGGAGGTGAACGGGATCTTCAGCGTAACGCCGGCTTGTGATTGGTGGAGCTTTGGCGTCCTGCTGTATGAACTACTCACAGGCACGGTGAGTGTGGTTCATGTTCATTCTTTTCCAAATAATGCATGGTCTGTGTGATGATAAAGTTTGGGCTAACGCTTGCCAAAGCAGATCAAATTCAACCAAGTGAAATACATGGTACGCTTGTAATAACAGTCAGTCAGATATTCCCGTGTTTTTGTTCGCAAGGGTACACCAGAGATTTGCTTGTACACAGTATTGATATTTTCTGTATAAAAAAAATTGTTATCGTACCAAAGAATAGAATTATTAAATGATGCCCCTGGTTGACATACTAGCCAGGAGTTAACCCCCACAGCAGTAAAGGATGAAAACAATTAATTGTTCAAAACCAGCCCCAAAATAAGATAATAATAATAATAATAATAATAATTGTGCTTGTATAGCGCTTTCCATCATATCAACAATCTCAAAGCACTTTACAATTATTACCCCGTTCATCAGGCCATGGGACCACGCGGCAGCCGATATCAGCGCTCAATCGGTCCTCGATCCTCACAGGTACCCATTCATACTCCTGGGTGGAGAGAGGCAATTGTAGTTAAGTGTCTTGCCCAAGGGCACAAACACCATGTTCCAGGCCGGGTTCGAACCCACGCACCTTCGTACATAAGTCAAACACCGTAACCACTGGACCATGGCGTTCTACAAGATGATTTAATTGTCTGTTTTCGTATTTGCAGTCTCTACACGGCTGTCATCCCAGTGGGCTTAGCTCCCACACTCAGCTCATCTTACCAGACCACGTGTCACCAGAGGCAGCCAGTCTCCTCAAACAGGTACAACACTTGGCGTGACTGTAGGTCTTGTGATATCAAAATTGTGACCGGCTCCACAAAAAATGTATTAGTCGAGCTGAGCATTATTGTGTAATGGCCCACACAACTTTGAGAGGGTTGGAATTTTGTCAAAATGTGATTTTCATTTTGTATCATAAATGACATCTTTAATACCTACAGTTTCAGGTTTCATTCACAGAAATGTTGATTTTGATGAACAAAGTGGAAAAAAATCCATTTTGTGTGCATCGTTCTGTTGTTCTGCAACAAAGCCAGCTATTTCAAAACCTGTTTTCTCAGTTGCCTGTTTTCTTAGTTGTGTAATTTGAACTCCAAGGAAGTAACTCATATGCAAATAAATCATATCTCCAGATTGGGAGGGGCTATGGAGCTCTATTATATACTAAATGAAAGCTTACATTGTGGGCTTTGCAACCATAAATAACTCAATTTCACTTTTTTGTGACATAATACCCTTTTTTGTGGAGCCAGTCACAATTGTGATCAAGTCAGTCTATAAATAACTAGGGCACCAATGCATGAAGTATGAGTTGGCCTTAACCCTCCTTTGCAAACATGCATTCTTTGCAAAGTGGTCCTTTTAGTGAAACTCAATCAGGTTTCAGTTTTTAACAGTTAAGAGCTCCCAGCCTACCTAAAGTAGGATAGACTGGCTGTGACTGTTTATGTAACTTGACACAGCTATGCTTTGACTGTAGGTGATTGATAAGACAGCTGTGCCACCAGTTTCCTACTTTTGTCTGTTGACTGAATTTGACTAGTCAGAGTGCTCACCTGAAATATGATCTGACTGTTGGTGACTAACCTGTGTAAAAGGCATGGCAGGGGAAGTGGATGAAATTTTGACTGTCTGTGACTGATCAAACAGTAGGAGGATTAATGCCTTAGAATCTTAGCCTTAATATTTTCAATAAAATTTCGATTTAATGGCAGCTTCGAGTGGCGCAATCATTCAACAAATTTGGAGCAATGAAGGCAGTGTCCGGAAATTTATTTCTTGCGGATCAATCTAGTCAGCTTACTATAAATAATAATAATAATGTTGGATGGCTTTTTTTTTCGGGGAATACAAGAATATATTGCACTCGCTATAAGGATATCGCACAAGTGTTCGACTTGTGCACAAGTGTTCGACTTGTGCAATATCATTATAGCTCGTGCAATATATTCTTGTATCCCCCTCAAAGCCATCCAATATATAATTGTTCTGATTATGGACTCCGTTCACGAACAATAGATAGCGCTTTGGGACTACTTTGGCAAGTCTGTTGGTAGGGACACAGTGTGTGTGCGTACTGTTTTGTGCGCAAGTGACGTGAAGTACGCGCAACTAATGTGCCCAAACCAGTAACATCTTCCAATGAGCAATGCATAGGTCTCCCCCAACTCTCCCTTTGTAACCATTGAGGGGGTACTTGTGCACAGAGGCCATTGAATGGAACAGTACATGTTGATTGACCAACTTGTATTTATTTCTTCCAGTTACTACAAGTCAACCCATTGGAGAGACTGGGCAGCCATCGCGCCGGCGGGGCCGAGGAGATTCGCATCCATCAGTTCTTCAAGGACATCAACTGGACTAACTTGCAGAAGACAGCTCACTCCTGAACTATGCGACCAGCAATCTTGCCCAAAAAAAAAGAGTTATGTTTTTGATATTTTTTTGCCATCATTTTGAAAAGTTTGCAAAGACTGTGGCTTTGTACTTAATAAGGATCCAAACACTGCCTTGCCATGCATTCTTGAAAATGGAACTTATGGGCAATTCCACGGTTACACACATGTACTTTTGAGTTACCTTGGGCTGTAATTACCTTACTGAAAAGGTTTAAAAATTGTTATCCCCATGGTAGATAGAGTCGACCTAGACCTACCTAAGCACCAAAGATGACATGCAGAAAAATGTGTTATGTTTGATAAAATCGGTTACTCACATTACAAAGATGCAACGTGAGTAACCGATTTGGTGCGTCTTGTTTATCATACATAACACATTTTTCTGGATGTCATCTTTGGTGCTTAGGTAGGTCTAGGTCTGCTCTATCTACCATGGGGATAACAGTTATTAAACCTTGTGAGTAAGGTCATTACAGCCCAAGGAAACTCAAAAGTACATCAAACATGTAACGTGAGTAACCGTGGAATTGCCCTTATGCGTTAGACGGAGTTAGTGGGCAGTGGTTTTGTTTCGCTTGGATTGGCATGAGTAAAATTTTCTGTGTTTATTGTTGCTGAATTAAAATAACAAAGTAAACTCTCCATTAAAGATACTGCAATACCTAAGGCCTATTCATAAAAGTTTAATTCACTATTATCTGAATCTCATTTTCAACTCAAGACATGCTATATTTGTTACCTCCAGTTCATGATTTCACCAAGTACAATATGTATTTTTCTATTTTTATGTGCATTGAGTACAGGTTTTGTCATTTATAAGATTTTTTGTTCAGGTTAGAAGTACAATGTACTAGAACATTCAAAATAATCCTGGTGTCAACAACATGGTATGTTAGACATGGAACATTGGCACATTAGGCGAGTCTGGGGGGAATATTGTTACAAACACAAGAGTTGTAATCAAGTCATCACAAGTCAATCACAAGTCAACACAAGTCAATCACAAGGCATCACAAGTCAATCACAAGGCATCACAAGTCAATCACAAGTCACTCTCAAGTCAGTCTGAAGCATAGAGCTATATTAAATTACTAGAGCACTGACTCGATGTACATAGTGATGCCTGCTGGGGCGCATCCATGTTTGTGCACAAACATATGGAAAACTGGAATTTTGTACGGCTTTTGTACGGCTGTTGTACCGCTATTTGCATATCTGCGTTTGTATTCTACACTGGTATGTTATCGAAGCCGATACACCCAAAACCGAAAAGAAAAATGAGTAAAATGAACCTTTCATTTTGCACGGGGCAAACAACTCAAACGCGTGCGCATATCCGCTGCCGTGACACATGAATTCAAAATGTCTGCGCCCAGGATGGCTTCAAAATATCTCTGTGCACAAGAATGAGGAGTGTTAGCGGTCTAATAATTTAATACAGCTCTATGGTCTCAGGTCATGGGTATTCCTTTGTCGTTGTGCATTTGCCTGTTACTACTGACCTCGATTGTGATTTGACTTGCAATTTTTTACTTGACTGCCAGCAACTGTGACAAACATTCCTGCCTTTTTTCCATCGTTTAAAATTTTAAATGCAGTTAGTATACCCATATTACTCCTATAGACCATTCCGAGCAAGCCATCAACGTACACTCAACGAGGCCCCCTTCAATGGTGACAACATTGCGCTAGCTATTGTTCAGATAATCTGTCACGTGGCAGTTGCCTTGTAGAATAGCAGGCGCAATGTTTTTGCCATTGTAGGTCACTGTGAATGAACAGTGATAGCGTGCTCTGAATGATCTATTAAGTACAGAAGTCTGATGTCAGCTGTCATTGTTCTGGTTCATGCGCTGGTGTCTTCACACACTGAAGCTATGTGCGTGAACCAGTATATCTGGCACACTTCGGTACTCTTTAGTATAGTGGAATCTGGCGACCAGAATTAGAAGCTTTTACTGCGGAGGTGTCATGCTCATGCGCATGATTCACGCTCATTTTGGTATTCCTATTGGTGGTCGGAGCCCGGGGTGTGTATGTACTACCTGAGTGCGACTGGCGCGAGCCTTGCGCCACTGCAGAAAATGGCTGCCGCTGGATTTGTCTCTAGAGTGATGTAAGCCGATATTGATCATGTGACACTTGGGGCTTACATCATTGATCTATTTATCTAGGCGGAGTTGATTGACTTTTCTTTTGTATATTTTTGAATATACTTGTGCTACTCTTCCCACATTTGTGTTTAGTGCAATTTTTTATTTCTGAAAAGCGAAGGTATATAAATAAACTGATAATGGAATGGATTGAATGAAAGAGGATATAACTACAATTGTATTTTTTGTTAAACTCTGGAAAAGAATTCTAGATGTAAAAAATGTAAAGTGAAAGAGTATATTTGATTTTTAAATGCTCGCATCTTAAGACTTATGTGAGGCATTGTGTGAAGAATATGCCATGTCCAAAGTACTTGACTATAGCTAGCAATAACGCACATGTCTATGGGAACAGGCTTCAGCTGGTTCCATCGATGCATGTGTAATTACTAGCCATGCATAGCCACGTGATTTGGACACATGACCAATATTCATCAGAATGCACAGAAACCAATATTAGAAAAATACATCCGAGTATGGGCACACAGTGTCCAATCACTTTCTCTGTTTCATTCTTGTGCGGTATAATGCACAGAGCCGACATGGATCGTTGACATTTAAAAGTACTTATTCTTACAACTGAGTTCTAATTTTTTTTACGTTATCGGGTAGAAACTGAACTGAGAAACACACAGTTTGTGTTGTCACTTTTGCCAATACTATGCACAGTTTCACTTTATATGCACCAAAATAATCTTTCATCCAAGGTTTTTATGCCCCGCGGCGAAGCCGAAGGGGCATACTGTTTCCGCCTTGTCCTTCCGTGGGTGGGTGTGTGGGTGGGTGAGCTTGTCTTACATACGCAGTGTGGACTTCCGAACAAAAGACGTCCACATAATGTAGGTAGCACCGACGTTGTGTGGACTTGCCCACGTCCACACAGTGTTTCCCCATTTCTGGAAAACAGGTTTAGAGGCATTTTTGGGTTAGGTTTATCTGTAGCAGAATGAAGAGAAACACTAAAGGGAATCATAGAAAAAAAATTGGGTTGAAAGAGTTTTCACAGTTTGAGAAAAATTAGTTTTTTCACTGGTTTTTCTTAACTACACGAAAGCAATGGAAAGTCCACACTAGTCATGTGAAACAAGTGTGGGTGTGTGGGTGGGTGTGTGGGTGGGTGGGTGTGTGTGTGTGTCCGGACAAATCTTGTCAGCGCGATAACTTGAGAAATACTTAACATATGAACTTCAAATTTGGTTTGTGGATTGTTCTTGGTAATCCTAAGAAGCCTTTTGCATTTGGGGCCAAAAGGCCAAAGGTCAAGTTCACAGTGGCTAAAACAATAGAAATCTTGTCAGCGCGATAACTTGAGAAATACTTTACATGTGAACTTCAAATTTGGTTTGTGGATTGTTCTTGGCAATCCTAAGAAGCCTATTGCATTTGGGGCCAAAAGGTCAAGGGTCAAGTTCACAGTGGCTAAAACAATAGAAATCTTGTCAGCGCGATAACTTGAGAAATACTTAACATATGAACTTCAAATTTGGTTTGTGGACTGTTCTTGGTAATCCTAAGAAGCCTATTGAATTTGGGGAAAAAAAGTAAAGGGTCAAGTTCACAGTGGCTAAAACAATAGAAATCATGTATTTATTCTGAGATTATAGGGATTAGGGACTAATTCATATAAAACCTACAGAAGACACTAATGCTGTCAATGAATGTTCCATGTGACCAAGGTACATGTAAGTTGATGTTAAAAGAGTGGTGTTATGTCATGGGAACTGTCACCGTTGCGGGGCATTTGTGTTTGTAAACACACCTGACTTGTTTTTTTAATTATTCATTTTAGAAAAAAGTTTTCTTTTGTAGCAAGCAAAAGACTGAATATTAAAGTCTCTTTGTGTGAAGACGATTTGTTCAATGACCCAAACATTTTCAGTTTAAGCAAAAAAATCTGGCTATAAATAGAAATTCCATCTCCTCATTGCATGTACCTGTACTACATAGTAGCATGCAGTGTTTTCCCGAAGAAGCGGGCCCAGACAAATCAGCGGCCATATTTAAACAAATATTCATGCGAGACGAAAATTTTGTTTTGTGTTTTATCATGCTGTTGATGTTTATTGCCTGTGGAAAAATAAACTGAATTGATTGAAAACTGTTCAAGCCATGACTAGAAACGTAAGAGCTCCATAATATTTAAATGTACACTTTTTGCGGCATTAGCTTGTGTTGGTAAATTAGTGGCGAGAGGGAGACCACGAACTTGTATCACAAATGTCACATGCAAACAAGAAGTAAATGTGTTATGAAATAAAGACATAGTCTCTTCTTGATTGCCTGTGAAATGTGTTTGTGTCTCTCTCCACTAATTTACCAGAATAATGCCGCAAAAAGTGTAAATTTCGATTTTATGGAGATCTTAAATTTCTATTCATGGCTTTAAAAGTTTTCAATCAATTCAGTTTTTATTTTTCCACAGACAAAAACAACATCAACAGCATGAAAAAAAAAAAAGTCTCACATGAATATTTGTTTAGAGGTGGCCACTGATTTGTCCAGGCCCGCTTTTTCTGGGACAGACTGTGCAGTGCTGGGGCGGAACATGGAGCAACACACAGGGGCAGTTTGGGTTGGTTCAGGGACTAATGGGTTAACATCAGCCTCAATTTGATAGATGTGGCCAGTTTTGCAGCACAAATGTCAGCTGGAACACGATACCTTGCACACATCAGTGAATGCATATGTAAGGGGACATCAGTAAAGATGTCTATTGGCCTATAATTTATCTCAGTTATTGAATATCTTTTGAAAACTGTTTGTTTAATTATGGACAAGAGGGCAGGCAGATATTATGATCAATGTCTTTATTTCAAATACTCAATGAATATTCTGCATTAATTCTGTGGTACATTAATTACATTTATTTACAGGTAAACAATAAAATATTTATCAAACGATGTGAACATTTTGTACAGATTTATAAAATTTGATATTGTTTTCGAAGTATTTTTTCTGTTTATACCGGTGGGACTTTAAAAAACAAAAATCCAAATCAAAACTCATATTATTGGTCTGAAGTACATGTACATCATTTGTTACAGCTCAGTCCATCATTTGCAGCTATCCAAAAAGTAACTGACGTAATTATTGTTGAAAAACATACTTTGTTTAAAGATAGTAAGGGGTCTAAACTCCCTGTGAAATTATTCTTTCTGGCATGCTGTCATTTTGAAAAAAATCAATGAAAGAAGGCCTTTCCAAAGATGCATCTAAAGACACATCTAAGAAAATTTCCGTCAGTAGTTCGTTTCTTTATTCGGCGAAGCACGCGCAAGTGTTGACACGACGCACACGCGCGCGCAGTTGCTATAATTCGTCGGAACAGTGCGTGACATCGCGTAGCTGCAATCGGCTCAGTGAGAACGCATCTCGGATGCTGAATTCAGGCCCAATTCAAATCGTGACTCGGCAACTTTTTGTTTGAAATCGAGATCCTAGAATGTTGTTTTTCTAAGAATACACAGCATTCGCTGAGCTGAGCTAAAACTTCATCAGGTTAGTTGTTCAGCACCCTTCTTTAGATTTTGAGCACGTTTGCTGCTTCTAACGAACAAAATGCACAAATTACAAAAGATGGACTGTACCTTTAAGATTTTGTCAGCAGCTTTAGTCCGCCAAGCTGAAAATACAGATTTGGAATAATACAGGCAACGATGTCTGATCCACTGTTTCTTATTTTATTAATTAGTACCGAGTATCAAAGCAACTCAAAGTGAAAGTTTGTCATTTATCAACATCAAGCATTTTTGTCCACACTATCGTAATAAGGCACTGGTTACTTCAGTGGAACATCAACATAAACATTTAAAATCATTTTTAAAAAAAATTATATAAAATATACAGTATGTACAAAGACGGACGGATTAGTGGTACTTGGTGGCATATGTTAACAGCAGCAAAACAGGCACACTTGGAACACTTGGAACTCAAAGCTGACAATTAGATTTCTCTCATAGGACGCCATCTTTTAGGAAAATTACAACTGCGTATCCAACGACATCAGGTGCTTGTGAGTGCAGAGAGCAAAATGTTCTAAACACGAGCGCATGTTGCTGGAAATTTCTTTGAAATACGGTGCCCAAAATGCCGATGCACGTGGCAATCTGTAGGAAGTGACATCATTTGAGAGAGACCTATTCACTTTGCAGTTTTGTAAATTGGCATTTTGGGCAAGCCTGTACGTCACCTTTAAAAACTAATCTTTACTTCTTGTGTACTGAGCTACAAACTCAAAACACTGGTACTGATTTTTTACTGCACGATGTATAGAATTCAGCAGCAAACATATTTGGGGTCCAATTTGCTGAGAAGCACTTTAGACAGGCCTCATGTCCAATGCATTTTTACAAATTTATTTTAAAAAAGCTCGATTTTGGCGTTCTCCCAAAATTCTGAAGTTGGGGGGGGGGGGGGAGACACATGGGACGGATTAGTGGGAGCACAGGCCTTCTCTTCAAATTCTGAGGGGGAAGGGAAGGGGAGGGGGTGGTGGGGTGGCACTAGGGGGGCACAGGCCTTGAGCTGGGGGGGGGGGGGGGCTATGCCACCATGCCATAACCCCCCCCCCCCCTCCCCTTAATAAACCCATAATAGAATGTGTTTTATGACTATTTCCATCGTGGTTTACGTGAGCGTTTTTAGGAAGCCCCAGCAGCAGTGGACTCCTGTCTGGTGTCGATGGCCGCTCCCGTCAGTGACAGCTGGGCTAGGTCTGGCAGCAAGGGGGTGCTACTACCCTGCTTGCCACGGGCTTCGTGGGGCCTGGTCCCTACGTCGTCATCTTGCTGGGTTAGGAAGGTACCGGGTTCTGATGGGGCAGCAGCTTCAATGGCAAGGCTGGCAAGAAAAAAACAATTATTTTATAGTTTTACTTTCCAATTTGTTTTCTCAACCTATGATAATAAGGGAATAAATGTGTGCTTGGGAAGTGTTCAACACTTTGCAGGTTGGAGTCTGGAATGCTGATAATTACCCGAGGCGAAGCAAAACTGTTCGGTCCAAAAGTCAAAACAAGTCAAAAATTGAAATTTTCCAAAGATTTTGTTCAACAATTTAACTTTCTGTTTTTCGAAACACCCCTCTAGCTTATATAATGGAGTGTCCAGCTCGCGAGTTAGACGTAAACAACTCCTTTTATGGAGATTAACGCGCGTCAGACGTACTGTGCGATGATACGCAGATGCAGCTGTGGTGAGTGCACTGTGAATTTAGGACTATGAAAAACTGACTCACTGTAGTATTGAGTATTGCGCATTCCTACGTGAGAAATGTGAACGTTCAACCAATGAAACGTTAAAAGGCACCAGATGTCATAGGAGTCCAAATTTCATGTGACACCAGAAAAGTGTTTAAGACCAGCCAGCCATGTCTTTGTCATCCGTTTAAGACCGGTCACGTGACGGGCTCTTGACCAATGGGAATGGGTAAACTGTCTAAGGTAGGATTTATGAATACGACATAAAGACACAACATGTTGAAGTCTCCTTAAAAATATATCACTGCAAAAAAATATCACAAGTTTCCGTATCAATTATTTTCTTATCTCTTTCATTCGTTGTCATAATGTGTTTTCATTTTAGAATATGACCTCCATACTAAGCACATGTTGATTTTGTACGCTCCAATCCACAATATGTTAAAAACATTCTTTTATTTGTTTGAAGCACAATTCAAAATTTGTGAAGTAATTATTCCGTTACTAAATATGGGCAGATTATTTTGTTTGCCATCTTATTGAAAAATGAATGACTTTTTTTTATATGGCTAGTAAAATAGCAGTTGAAAAAGGAAATATCTTGCAATTTTAAGCTCATACCTGACTGCGTCTTTGCTACTGATGCTGACTGGGGGGCGATGGAAAGCCGACGGGCCTAGGTCAGCCGGGGGCTTGGCGCGCACTCTGGAACCATTCATCTTGGCAAATAGTAACCTCAAGATACGCTCTCGCTGCTCCCACGTCAACTCACTCACATCCACCTTGCCAGCCAGACCGGACCTGCCAAGAAAGACACGAGTGGAAATAACAACAATGAAGAATTATAAAACTGTGCACCGTCTAGAGGTTAACAAGGAGGCACAATTCACATTGCATCTCAGAAAAAAGTAAACTGTGTTTTGTAGATGTATTACTCAACTTGTTTTGCACTAAACAACACTGGGGTTTGACCTTTTTTAATCAATTTTTTTTTCTCTTTATTTTGAACAGTATTTTTATTCTTACAAAAAACTACATTTTTCTATTTTAGGTGTTTACAACCCTGTATAAAGGCTTTTATTTTCAGTTAGTTTGGCACATAAACAGAACAAGGTGAGTTGACTGGTACCCAATCACAACATTCTCAATACTGATTGGGGGACCAGTCTACCATTTGAGAACTGAATAATTTTCGGAACCTAAACATGATAAATAGTATGAAATTTATGAAGAAATCATTCTTTTAAGTACTAACATTTTTTTTGTATTGCTAGAAAAAGAGCAAATTAAAAAGACATAAATTTTCTCAGGTTGGACCTCAAAAATAGCAAAGGCAGTGCATTGTTATCGGTAACAAGGCCCTTAACCATTTTAAACCAGGACCACATTTCGAAGCAAAACGCATGCTTAGCTCTGAGGAAAAATTTGCTAAAATAGGTGACAAGAAATCTCCATGCATACGCAACTGTTATCACATCCTCACCAGAAGGTTGAAAAAAATCACTCGGATGGGACTCGAACCCACGACCTCCTGCTTTCTAGTGCAGATGTCTTACCACTCGACCACCGAGCTAACGGGATCGGATGGCTGGTTCGAATCTGATGTACATAGCAGCGGGAACCGCATAAACTATTCACCTCCCTTCTCTAAACTATAAACCTCCCTTCACTCGGGAGGTAACACACTGAGTATACAGTGTTTAAACGTCGGTGAAGGACAAAACCTATAATTTGATTTATATCACCCCGACGCTAAATTCCATCTTATAATAGACAAAGTATTTATCGGCCCGATGAGCAGGAGTAGTAATGCAACCGCTCAGGTAGTACACACGCACTCCGGGCTCCTTCGACCAATAGAAATACCAAAAATGCGCATGCACCTCGTCTTCAAGAACGCGTGCAGCAACGCGTGAGGTGACACCACCGCAGTAAAAGCTTCTAATTCTGGTTGCCGGATTCCACTATACTCACCAAGCCTCGGCAGCCTTGAGGTCCGAATACACACTGTTGGTGCTCCCATCAGACGCCTTGAAGGTTCGGACTTTCGGATACTCTCCCTTACTTGCGTGTGCATCCAGCATCTTCTTGTGATACATGGCGGCCGCATCCTGCAGGTACTTGGCCCGGTTGGCCACAATTTCATTCTTAACAATCTCCAGAGAGTCCAGGAAGAACTGCTCCATCTCGGTTCGCTGCATTGGGAAAATGTCAGTTGTTGAGTCTCAAATTTGTGACCTGTTCTGTCAAAAGCAGACGCTTTTGGGCAGAGGTTGAACTTGAGATAGGGCCAAAAAACGCTGTGGGGGTGATTTTTTTTCGATTTTCAAATTTTTACATCTTTGTAATCCTGAACATGTCTAAAATATGCTATAAAAGTTTGACACCCTAATTTGAACTCTTAATATAGTATTTTTGATGATTTGTAAAGGTATTTCAGTTAAAGAAATGTCTGTTTTGTGACGTTCGTGGCCATTTTCTCCGTTTTCTACTTTTCGACTCAATGAACTTCAAAATAGCATAACTCTGCCCAGAAATCCCCCCCCCCACAGAAGTGTGGTTGGGGTCTACGAACGAATACTTACCTGTAGAGCAACACTACTTATGCATATTCCCCCTACCGGCAGGTATTTTCGCTAAGAGTTATATACAATAGCGCCCTCTGGCGCCCTACCCATAACACCCCGCGGCATGCGTGCCTCGTGAGCGTCCTCTTTTCTCGAGCGCTAAGTCGGAATACAACAAAGTACCCAAGGCATCGAGAAGAGTGGGGTAGGGGGGAGGGATGCTCTACAGGTAAGTATTCGTTCGTAGACCCCAACCACACTTCTGTGGGGGGGGAGTCTACTTCACTCTACTTACCTGTAGAGCAACACTACTTATGCATAGACTAGCACCGTCAAGGAGGTGGGCCATGCGAGATGCTATTGTGCTTTCACAGGGGCACGTAACAATACACGTAAACCCTGGATGGGCCCGTCGTTCCACATGTGGGTGGACAAGGCAGCCCAAAAAGGTTGGCATGATAAAGACATTAGTCATAATGGTAGCCTCAACATGCCAACAGAGATGTGATCCCCGATTTTGGGAATCACACGTAATGAATTACAGCCCACTGATACCTACACATAAGAGTTCGGTGGGGCACACAAAATAAAAATTATCATGAAAGGCAAAACATCATGACATGGTACATATAGACACTATAATATGCACATGTACATGTACAGAGCTCAATAAAGAATCAGAGTTAGGAGACACCAATGCTGGGGAGGTCCCCAGTCTGAAAATGTCTTGAGAACATGGTGGGGCTCAGTCAGTCGCCCTCAACACTGTTCTCCCATGCTCTGCCTTTTATTTTGTGCATGCGGACCAATCACACGGATTCTGCCGTTGATACGTCCGTGGTTTTATGGATGACCGTAGCCAACCTTCAGTCAATCTTGTCATGAAAGCCTGCAGGTATGGTGGGGTCACCATGATAAATACATGTCATGAAAGGCCTGCCTGTATGGCAGGGTCGTCATGACAAAAAACATGTCACGAGAAGCCTGCTTGTATGGCAGGGTTGTCATGACAAATACGTGTCGCGAGAAGCCTGTTGGTATGGCAGGGTTGTCGTGACAAATACATTTGTAACTGCAAGTGACCGATTCAAAGCGTCCCAGTGCAGCTAATGTACGACGTTAAAGTCATGATTGGCACCAAAAATTCTGCGTCTGGACAAGAATGATTTGATGCCCGAAAACAAAGACGTCCGGAGGCCCAGAGGGCTCTGACAGTCCTTAGTATAAATCCCTCCTTAGGGAGCAGACATCAAGTCATGATCAGCACAAAAAGTCGCTGTCTGAAACGGACAAGAATCATTTGATGCCCAGAACAAAGACATCCTGAGGCAAAGAGGACTCCGACCATCTTAGCTCAAAAAACCTTCCTTAGGGATCAGACGCCAAAGTCATGAGTGGCACCAACATTTTCCATCTGGAGTGGACAATGATTTGATGCCTAGAACAAAGATGTCCGGAGGTAAAGAGGACTCCGACATTCTTAGTTAAAAAACAAAAATCCTCCCGTAGGAATCGGATGGGCACACTCGGTTCCCATCAGATGTGGTCCGTCTCAATTATACAGAAAACAGTTCTTTACTACATGTATACCAAGAAGTAACAACTGCTTACAAAAAAAGAAGAAGAAAAAAGGCAACCGTAGAAAACCAATGAAACAGATGTGAAATTGTTCACTGGTTCACAGAACTCTAAAGATCTCTATAACACCTTTGGATAAGAAGGTGTTGAAGAGGTCCTGCAATTCAGGGGTGTTAAAACATCCCCTTAAGTTAACTGACACGGACGTTCAACTGACTAACATTAAGTAATCTACTGTCATGTTAGATGTCCCTCAAGTGCAGGCTGTAAAAGCCATAGCTTGTTTGAGAAAGGTCTGATGTGAACAGGAGAGCATTACAGCATCCAGTACATCAGGAGAAATTCCTGCGGAGCTGGGTGAAGGAAACCCAAGCTGTGCTGGAACCGAATATTGTTCTGCTCGGAAGAACATTTGTACCTCCAACTGGTGCACCAAGGGAATGGTTATAACCCTGGAAAACCAATCAATGGGGTCAACATGGAGTTAAGAAGAGGACCTTGTCATCCTTCTGCTCCATTTGATTAAGTACCCGAGGGATAAAAGAAAGACGACAGGAAGGTGTATATAAGTAGCCTGTCCGTCTTCATCACCATCGTATTCGTGTGCCATGTATAAGGGTCAGGAACCCTCAGGCATTAGCCTGGCAATCTGTAACTAGTTCATGAAACAAGTCAGATTGACATGTGGTTAGTTGTCCTTGCTTGGGAGGAGGACCGTCGAAAGCAAGAAGCTAGGAGGAAAAAACCCCAATGGGGTATTTCTCAAGTGAGTGTACACAGGTGTGCAGGCTACAACTGTAAACTACAACATCGAATATAGAAGTTACATCGCAGTTTCTCCGAGACTGCCAGCATCTCAAGTATGTTAATGGAACTTGAATGATGCTCACACAGGGCCTCACCAATCCGCCACTAGATGCGTGTGGTGGGCAGTTAACTGGCAGGGTAACATGTTCGCCATGACAGTTAATGAGTTAGGCTGCAATCTGTTAGAGGCCCACCCTTGTGAGGTTGGCAACGCCGAACCACAGGAGGTACTGCACAAGTCAGGTCATGGCCTGCACTGAATGCAGTGAGGACTGGGCCGATACAAGCAAATAGGTGAATGCCACCAATTTTTGTTTCCACGGCGCAGTCATATCGCCTTTACTATCTGAGCAGAGGCCAGGAGTGAAGCGGAAAAAAGGCTGGATGGAGCCACCATGAAGTTGCAGCGAGAATCTTGGTTTGAAAACCGTGAAATTCTCAGTGCTCTGGCCTGAAAATGAGTTGCAGTTGTGTACCCTTCAGGCCAGGGCTCATTCCCCATGCTGATGTGTTAGACAGTCGACTAAATCTCATCAACATCTTTCCAAGGGAAATACAAGACGGGCCCAACACTGTGCTGGCCCGATGGTATTGATGTCAGCCTCAAAGTCTCTCTGACGAGCTCCTACGAGACAGATGGGTAGAGGTCGTCATGAGTCAGGTAGGCCACTTATGGAAATCATCAAAACAACTGAAGCCGAACCGAAATCGTTGTTACATTATCCTATGTGGCATGGCGTACAGAAAATGTTGCTAGCACGGCCCACACAAAATCATCTGGGCAAACTTCAAGAGGTATGCAGTTGAGAAAACAAACAACTGTTTGTTCTTCACCTGCGCTGGCCCACATGTAATCGACATCGACCAATATGGATGTAGACATCGATATCCACCGCAAAAGAAAAGATCTTTGTCCGTTAAAAACTTAAAAAGTGGGACTCGAATCTTTGGCGGGCGCCCTTTGACGGGAGAAACAGTTCATCAATCATGTTACCCCGGCGGGCCAAGATTGCTAGGGTCTGCACTCGTGTAAAATTATAGAGTACTGAGTGCAGACTGTGAAATTGATAAAGAAAATAGCAGTCAACACGTCCGCTAAGACTGTCGAGTCAAGATAAAAACATTAAACCTACGGTACTTCATGAGGGTAAAGAGGGAGGCTGAACGCGTATCGCCGAGCCCACTTGATTATTCTACATGTACTGCAAAGTGTATTCAAGCTTCTGCGAGTATTATTTACGAAGAGCCGCTTGAATAATGGGGTCCCTCTACTGCTGGCAGCTTGTGCTTAGCTGCTTTGAAGAGGGAAGATGTGACAAAAAAATACCGAATTTCGCTAACGGAAAACGGTAATGATCACATTATTGCTTGAAGAGCAGCAGGCAGTTTGAACACAGGCACAATCTATCGAATGTGGTCCACAACATGCCTGCAAGAGTCGAATAGACCCCGTAAACGAGAACCGTAAATATATCTGGAGGGATGCGTTGCCCACGGCCACAGTCAGTTGTTGAACAACTCCCTCGGAGACAATGGACAGTGTACAATGTACATACACAAGTAATGCACACATGTACAATGTGCATGAAAAATGTAACGATCTCAGTACAGCAAGAAACACCGCCGCACGGGTAAGCACTGCGCGGCGTGTCCCATTGTCCTTGAGTCACCCAACCGTGATTAATGTAGAGTGCTACAGAGTTCACGACTCGCAACTGAACTAAGACGGACGTTTCATTAACGTGCCCGCCTGACAATACATGTACGTGTATAAAACGTATATGACCGATAATAAAGCCGAGAACATAGTAAGGCTTGTAATGAGTGGGCCGAAAAACCGAGTCCTCATCACGGTAGCGTATGCCGCGGTGGGACCGGTGCAATAAACTCGCCCGGATTAGAAAAAATAAATAAATAAATAAATAAATAAATAAGCCGTTCCCGCCTGAGAAATGGACACCACTTTGTCCGTTGTCGATGTGTTTCACATTTGATCCAACGGAGGTGTGGGGAACACCTTGTCATTGTTAGATGTGGAGCCCGTCCTGCGCTTGATTTGAAAATTTTGTGATCGGGCGGAGGGGGCTCATCGGCGGAGGGTAATTTAAGTACCCGTGTAATTTCCTCTGCAGCAAACGGAATTTCGTTTCCGCAATTGACAGCCATTGTAACTGGTCTGATTCTTCGTCATCATCGGATGAATTAGCCGAATGCGAAGGCCAAAATGACCCCGATGACTGAGAGCCGTCTGGAGGGGCTAGTTGTACAGAACCACGCGGTGGTGGCTGGGCAACACCCTCGGAGATAATAGACATACATCGTACATAATATTATGCAGATGGTGAAGACTAAACACAAGCGGGGATCCTGGCGCACGGCTAACTGTGTGCGGTAGGTCCCGTTGTCACGGCTGGCGAATGAGAAGTCCCGTTCGCCGTAGGCCGGGCTTCCGGTATAGCGTGCAACCATGTGTGGTATACATGAACATGTACATGTACGTACATGTGTTTTTTCCATTTTTGTACATGTACATGTACCTCGTTGTGCTCACGGCCGATGCATGCGAGACACTCGCTGCAGGCCGGGCCTCCGGTGTACGGTCAACCATATGTGGTATATCCCGTACGGTTGTGCCTGGGCCACCCAACCGTGGCCAACGAACGACGACTGTGAAGCCCTCACCGCATGCGGGGACGCCGCAGCACGACTAATTGTGTGCGGTATGTCCCTCTGTTCCCGGGCCACCCAAGCGTGACCGGTGACTGAATACTGCGATGTGGGCCCAACGACCGATGGTTGTGGGCCCAACGACCGATGGTTGTGGGCCGTAGTCCACCGCTGCAGGGGGCCCCCAATAGGGCCCGCCCGGCGGCCTGCCGACATAGCCGACATAGCCGATAGCGTATCGGAAATCGACTGAAAAGCCTGCAGAAAATCTGCTCTAGAAACCGCGTCCTCCCCCCGGGAGCGTTTGCCCCGGCGGGACCGGTCAGAGGAGTCGTCACACCCCGAAGAAGAACGGCGCGATCGACGTGCAGCCTTCTTCTTCTTATCCTTCTTCTTAGAAGAACGACCCGAGGTGTGTCCGAGGAAAAATCGGAAAACACCTGGGACACCGGGACCCCCGAACAACGGAAAAAATCCGATGATGAGAGTAGTCCCTCTGAGCGAGCTAGCACGGGGGCCGTCGGCCCCGGGATCCCCCCGGGCGACCGGCTCCGTATCGCTCATAATGCACCCGGCCGACAGCGCCTCAGGCCCCGTGGGCTGAGTGAGCGCTGAACGGACCGGTAGCCCGTGCAATAGCCCCCATCCCGACAACCAGTGGTGTTCGGCACTGTGTCGGGAGGACACGGGTGACTAGCGCCCACCGAAGTGTGATGGCTAGTCCCCTCGGGCTGCCCCGTGATCGGGGGAGGGCCAGGTGCCGCAGCGGCGCTCGTTGCCGAGCCACGCTTGCCCTGACGGCCCTTCTTAGGCTTTGCTCCGGCACAGGAGATATGTTTTGGAGGAACCTTGCCGGAGTGTGCCTTTAGTTTGGGTGTTCTGCCTGAGTTGACCGGAGAAGGTGACCGAGGTCCCCTTAACTGATCGGCGGAACTGCCAACTCCCCCAGCCGACTGTGGCTGAGGGTGCCGGACGAGAGACTGCTGCCGCGGTAACGACGTAGCGTTAACGGCAGAGTCCCCCGAGAACTCGGTCCGTCCCGTGGGAAAGCTATCCCTAACGGTTAGTGACAGATCGGTCCTCCCCAAACGCTGCAAAATAATCAAATAAATACAACCAAGAAGATGATGAAAACGCTACAAACTGTTGTTTTATTAACTCTATTATTAAATACTTCTCTTAAACGCAAAAAAGGGTAGTAAATGACGAGGCAAACAGCGAGCTATTTCACGCACGTCCTACCCAACCTGCCGCTAAGAGAAAAGAGGACGCTCACGAGGCACGCATGCCGCGGGGTGTTATGGGTAGGGCGCCAGAGGGCGCTATTGTATATAACTCTTAGCGAAAATACCTGCCGGTAGGGGGAATATGCATAAGTAGTGTTGCTCTACAGGTAAGTAGAGTGAAGTAGACTGACCGGTTTCAAAAATTAAACCACCTTTTAAAAGGAAAAAGAACGTATTTTAACAATATGTACAAATCTCATTTTTGACCTTATGCCCAGAAAAGTCTGATTTTGACAGAACAGGTCACATTTTACAGAGAGTTATGGATTCGAGTTTAACCTAAGCAAGCCTGTAATATTTTGATAAGCTCTCAGACGCCACTTGTATACAGAGCTTATAAAATTCAGTAGGAGAGGGACACTAAGTATTTCAAATGTTATACCTCGGTGAGGACAATTTCATCCTAAACCCTAAATTTACAGATAAATATATAAAATTGTGTGGATTTGAGTTTATCAAGCAAGGTACTGATACATATGTTTGAAATTTTCCTTCCAAAACAATATTACAATTATTATCACCAAATATACATTTTTTTTACAACCAACAACTAAAACATATTCTGCAATGCGCAGCTGTTTGGCTAACCTGACATCCCTGACTTGCAAAAGTGAATATCTTATGAAAAGTCACTCTTTTTTTTAACCATGATAAAACAGACTTTGTTCATTATGAAGAATACCAAAACAAATTCAGTAATATTTCTTTTACGTTTCCCCAAGAATGTGATCTATGAAATTTTTTTTTACAGTTTTGGTCACATGTCTGCAAATGTGCAAATGATGTATCAAGGAAGTTATGGTATAAACTCCGGGCATAGCGCTTTTTGATCCCTTTCGAGAGCTTCGTGGGAGGGGCAAACCGCATGCTATGCACACAAGACCATTGGGTTGTGGATATAGGGCATGAAGTACACACAATTAATTCCTTAATTAAATATGTATGTTGCGTATACACACGAACGGTAGAGGTACAGCGCCAATGCATACAAGCGTCCCTCTGACCTTGATGTCATTGGTCCCCCCAAATCTCTCCTTGTAACTGTTGAAGGGGGAACCAGCGATGTACTCGAGTCTATCACAAGTCCAGTCAGTTATTGTGGATGAACAATAACAAAGGAATGCCTTTGTCAAAGCTCATTTGAATAGCTTGTGAGTTGAATGGGGACTGGAGTAATTGTGATGGACTTGTGATAGACTCGACTACATCCCTGGGGTATAGACTTTTAAATTCTGTTGTTCGGGAGGCAGGCAGGGGAAGAAAGGACTGTCGTTTAGTTACCTGATCCAGGATAGTCTTGGCCAATCTCTTGACTTTCTTCATCTCTTTGCTCTGCAGCTCAATGGTCCTCATCAGCTTGGCAATCTCTACTTTGCCGGCCTCCGTCTCGACGTGGGCCTTCCTGACCACTATCTGCCGCTCCTGTTCAAACTCTCGCACCACGTGGCTCAGGGAAACCTCCAAGCTCTGGATCTTAGCCTGAGCCTAAACAAATAATAAAATTCACAGAACAAGTAAAAATAACTAACTCATCAATATTACCCTTTATGGCCTGTTCATACTCGTTACTAATGCTAGCGAGAATTTTAATCAATTATATATACCGAGCGAAGAAATTCTATGAAATTGGTTTTCTTTTAATCTTTTTTGTCACCAAAATTATGTGTCTGTCGGCAGATATGCCGCAACGAATAGTATATACAAATATTGAGTGGCTCAGAGTGAAATGGGAGGAATATTATCGCAAGGTAAATTCTGGACTTTTCAATTTCACGAGGCGAAGCTGAGTAAACTGGAAAAGTCCAGGTTTTACAGAGCGATAATATTCCTCCCATTTCACAATTTAAAGCCACTCAATATTTGTTTTATATAACTGACATATAGATCCTTGTAATTTTATATATTTGAACTTTTATTTCACTACAAAATTGATGGGAAATGTATTCTCTCTTCCAAACCACCCCTTCACGAAAATGTTTGAACCAAACTCTGTAGCGCTGGCTCTTAGGAACATTACGCGCTACGCGCAATGCTGAACGCGCACACCAGCATGCCTTTGCACACAAATGCCGCGTCTTGGAACAAGAATGATCCTAACTGTTCAATAGTATTTCCTATTCCCCACGGGCGAATGGGACTTTTTGAGAACCAAATTGAATGGGAGTAATAACGAATGTCACGTGATGTGAGTTCCACCAATCAAATAACAAGGATCTGTATGTCGGTTATATAATGTCACCTATTGTCTGATAGTCTCCAAGGCCTTGCGCATTGAATAGTGCCCCCAGTAGTCAGATGATGTCCCGCCTCCCCCCACCTCTTTTGATTTTGCGGTGGCCAGTTTGCCCAAAAATTCCAGGCTACCTTCCAGCACAGACTGGTCTGTCGGCAAATTTGATCTAGCAACAATCACCTTCACCCGCCATTTTAAAAATAGATTCGTGGGATTTCTTCGGAATCATGCAGCACCACTTAAAATTCTGTCAGGGGTATTTAAGGAGCAATTCATTTACTTCAAACACAAAGCTGTGAGTGTCTTGTATCAGCCATGATAAGTTGAGCAATAACAGGCTCCACGACAATCACAATTTGCCAGTAAAATGCTTGAGTAAGTTACGCCATAATTTGTTGCGTAAGTCGCGGACATACGCACTACGAAACTTCCGTGAAATGTGTCATAATTGAAATGCTGCGTATCATGAAATGGTGTGCAACTTGCGCAATAAATTGTGGTGCAAGTTTAGTTACGTCATTGCATAAGGTTTTGTGATATTGTCTGCAGAAGCAATAGATACCGACCTGCTTGACTTGCTCCTTCAGCTTGGCGTTCTGCATAACCTTCTCCTGTATCATCATCTCGTTCAGCTCCTTATCTCCTTTGAGTGTCTTGTTGTCCTTGAGCAGGCTATCTCTCTCCAATTTCAGCTCGTCCGATTCCTTCATGTGGTAGTTCAGTGCTTCTGTCACGCGGACGTTCTCCTTGTATACGGATCGGGTTGTCTCGTCCAACTCACTAAAACAAAATCAGGTAAACAGCTTTGAATTATCAACGGCCAATAATGAAATATAAAACCGATCAGTGTTAAAAAGACTTGTTAGCAAATACTTAATCGTGTACTTTATCTTCTGAGATGTTTAAAGTTTCCTTACTTTATGGACCCTGTGGGTGAGAATGCTACTGTTATGTGTGCGAAGCATGTAGTAGATACGTGTACGTTGCATGTGGCCTTCATGTTATGCATGTGCATAACTTATGTATGCAGGGGGTACAATCTGAACACGAACAGAAATATTACATTTTGATGATTTTTCTCAAGAGCTCTTAATAATAATAATAATTTATACATTTATAATGCGCAAATTCCACAAGAATATGATCAAATACACATTCACAATTATTATCCCTGTTCATCAGTAATATGAGACCCTGCAGCAGCTCGAGATCCGCGCAATATGGTCTCTATACTCCAGCGTGGAGAGAGGCAATTGTAGTAAAGTGCCTTGCCCAAGCGCACAAGCACCATGTTCCCTGTCAGGGTTCGAAACCCATGTACCACGGCACACGAGCCGAACACCGTAACCATAGGCCCACAGCACCCCACATTGAAAAGCATTTAGCAAACAGTGCTTATCACATGAAATAGGCAGAAAGATAAAGCTGTGATCTTTGCTGGGGTGAGATTGGGAGAAAATGAAAATTCATGAAATAATAGGCAAAGGGTTTGTAGGTCACTGAGGGCCCCAGAGCAACGTATGGTCTGTAATACAAGTTTGTATTGGCCTTAGAGCATCCGTTATAATACCCATTTCTATTGTTATACATTAATTTTTATATTTAATGATACCTTTATGGTTTATTTTTTAGAAATTCCACATTTCAGAAGGCATTTTTAAAATCCTGAAATCCAGATACATTCTGACAAATCTCAACCAGGTCTTTTTCATCCAAGGATCTGAAAAAATATAGCATTATTCAGTTCTGCCAATTTTCATGCAACTTGATCATAATTACTGAGTGTACTGCATAGCTGCCAAAAACAAAATTGTTTTGTAAAATCAATGCAAGGCATGAGTACAGACTGTTTCATGAAATGGTCAGCAGCTTTTCTGTGCTTGGTCTATACCTGATTGCTTCTGTGTGTGCCCTCTCAGCCAGCTCAGCAATTTTCTGGCTGGCTTCTTGCTGCAATCGGATCTTCTCCTCAAAGAACTTGTGCTCCATGCGCTGCAGCTGCTCCACGTGCTCCTTGTTGGTCAGAAACATCTCCTCTTTGATCTGTATTTGAAAAAAAAAATGAAAAAAAAAATGAAAAAAAAAAATATTCATCTTTGTGACTTTGTTACCAAGTCCCAATAGGCCTTATTCAAAGGTCAGCCATATCAAATTGAAAGCGAGGTAAATCTTCATTTTTGGATTTTGTGGAACCAGCAGGCATCACTTTGTACATCGAGTCAGCCCTCTAATAATCTAATATAGCTCTATCTGTAAGACTGACTTGAGACTGATTTGTGATTGACTTGTGATGACTTGATTTCAACTCTTGTGTTTGTAACAATATTCCCTCCAGACTTCCCTAATGTGCCTATGTTCCACTGGCTTTATTCACGAGTTGGCAATATTGAAAGCCAGGTAAAATCTTCCTTATTGGAACTTGCGAAGAGAAATGAAAGCAATGAAATAAAGTTAATTACAAATTAATACTAGGTTGCTCTGATGAACAATTTAAAATTTGTGATTAATTATACGCTAATGTTTTAAGCCACATTTAAAAAAAAAATTGAAAGTGAGGCTTGGAACGCATAAATAGTCTGGCACCATCCCATTCTACGGTTTACAAGGCCTAGTTCCACATACGTGATATTGTCGCAACGACTATGTCGCGTGGTAATGTCGCACACGCGCCTGTGTGAATGAACAAATATGCGATACGTTGCCCGATTTTTGAAATAATTAGCGCAATGAGTCGCAAGACTTTGTCGCGTAAACGTAAATGCGCTCACTGATTTGTGCGTGTATATATATACATTATCGCGCGACAAAATCGCGTATGTGTAAATAAAATTCAGGGATCAAAAATGGCTTCATCGTGAATAAGTCTATAGACAGATTGTGTTTTTTTGACCGATTGCAACATGACTAATATCGTTTCCGTAGTCCGGCTGATGGAGAAATAATACATAAAGAGCTGCCTGTCTGAAACTAAAATCTATTTTAAGCAACTTGAGTTGCTCCTTGTATTGTTTGGTTTGGCACAATTCTGGAACTTCAGTCTCAAAACATGCAATAAAGTTAGAGGAAATTGAACGAGACAGTAATTGAACAGACGAGTGCAAGACAGTCTTGTACTGTCGCGCCGGCAGAAACCAATCTTACCTCGTCTAGTTCTTTCTGCATCTGTCCTCGTTTTCGTCGGAACTCCTTGACCAGTTTCAATTCGCTCTGCATCATCTTGACTTCATCTGTCTTCTCTGCTAGATTTGTCTCCAGCTGATTCAGGCGTGTAGTGAAGTCTTCGATCTACAAGTAAGATAAGTTCTTTTATGCTTTGAACAGATTGGGTTTACAGGGCGAGTCAAAAAGAATGTGATCGAATTAGAAAAAAAAACTTTTTTAAAAGTATGTGGTTAATTCCATTTCATAAAAATAACATGGGGAAAGGTACTTGTTATTGACTAGTAACTGTGAAAATGTTGACGTAATTTATATTGTCCCAAATTATGTCTTTAAAAAAAAATGATTACACAATTCAGCTGTCCACCACTGATCATTTACCGTTCTAGGAACTGATTAATACCCATTAAATGTAATGTAACACGGACTTCAGGAAAAAGAAAGAGTTGACTTATTCCTCATATTTAAAACACAAAATCTGACAGTAAACATAATGTTTTAGTCTTGACTCAAATGATTAAAATCTCATTTGTATTTGAATGCCTGTGTGTAATCTGTAATTCTCACTCAGCTCAATAGCTTCCAATGGCATTCCATGGACAGCTATAAAAATGGCTTCTTTTAGTGAAACACACATAACTTCTGATAGCATGGATCAATTTCAGTAATTATTTTTTTGAGATGAGTGGAAGAACATGCTCTTTTAAGAATAATTCATTGCTGTTTCAAATTTAGTTGCTTTTTTAAGAAAAAAAATCATTCATCCAGATCACTTTCTTTTGACTCACGCAGTAGAATGAAATAAAAATTAGAACCTACATGTTTTTCTGAAATCTTCAATTGCTAAGGTAACAAAAGAGAGTTTGGAGAAAAACACTGACCCATAGACATCTTTTGGTAAGAGGTCTTTTTCAAAGTGTGATCATTCATTAGGAATATTAGGAAAGATAAAATGTTTGCTTAGTTCAAGGTAATCAAGTTGTTTGCAAAATTTATTTACATATCCACTTTCAGTTCGTTGCACTTACAATTTGCTGCTTTTCTTTTCTTGACTCTCTTCTGGTGTCTTTCAGTTGCTTCTGCAACTTGGCAATCTGAAAATACAATATGTCAGACATTTCATCGTTTAAACAGGAGACCACTTAAGTTTGTGATGAAGATGCATCAACACTGGAAGTTGAGCAAATGAATTTCACCTTTTCAAAATTTTGTTGCCTACAAGACTTAAACTATCAGTTTTTTGACAAATAAAATAGAAAAGCCTTAACAATCATGTGCCCGTTACTCCTTGTGCCATGCTGTCATCGTGAAAAAAAGAATATGATGACACGAATAAACCTTAAAAGATTACCCTATGGGGGATATTTAGAGGTTTAAGCGCTTGTCATGTGAATAAGCTGCTAGTAACTCTTCACAAGTCGTTTGTAGTACTGCATTTCAATACACCAACGGGGTGAAGTTACAGTCAGGACAAGTTTACCTCATTTTGCCAGACAAAAAAAAAAACCCCAAAACGACTGTAATGAGACCAATTTCATACTACAGAGTGTATACAAAAGGTAACCCTAATCAATCGGCTCATACGTAAATGTTAGAAAATTGTAGAATGTCAAAGTGGTTTCATCTTTAATCATTAGCCTTCAATTGATACCATGTTATTACACCTCTTTAGTTACAGATGACCGAGTACCATTGCTTGCTAAACGGAGGCAAAAATAAGTAATAATAAACAAACAAAGGAAACATTCCCATATCTGGCCATCACTTGTCACCCTAACTGTGCACAGGTGCACAAACCGTATGAGACTGGTCTGAAAATGTCTAAGTATTTTGTCAGTAAATAATTCAATATTTTCCCGGCTAAATTTGACTTTTTAGGACATATCACTTGCTGTTGGCTGATAGGTCACTGAAGGGAAAAATTAGCGATGACCAGATATGGGAATCTTTCCCAAACAAAAATAAAAACAAACCTACCAAATCTTCCTTTGCTTGGTCTTCCTTCTTTAAGTATGTTATGACATCAATGGTGTCTTTTTCCGACTGCAGCATCTGACGCTGCAGTGTTTCATTCTCCAGTGACAAGTGCTTGGCGTTCTCACGGAACTCAAGTCGGGACTTCTCGGTGGCGTCCAGGCGCGCTTCCCAGATTCTTGTGTTGGCGACAGCCATGGCAGTATCAGAGAATTTCTTGTCCTTTTTCTTCCTACAGACGCAAATTAGTCAGAGGGGAAGAAAAAAGAGAGAATACTTAGCTATCTGGAAGTGTCTTATTCAATCTTTTAATTTCGGGTTTTGCCCTTCACCAATGTATTTTCACGTCAGTGAAAGGCTTAGCCTGATATTGAACGTACATCATCTCGACGCAAATTTAATCTTATGAAATTACAAACGATTACCACTTTTTTCTTTTGTTCACTGTTGAGTCTTTAACGAAATCCAGCTGGAGTGGTTGTTGCATGAAAAAAAATGTTAATGAAAAAAATGCAACCATTCCACCTGGATTTCGTATTTTACAATGTGACCATCTTCTTTACCGACCGCTCACACTCACAGTGCATCATCAAACAGCCGCCATGGTGCAAGTCCCGATTCCCTGAACCAACTAAGGCATGTAGCCCTGGTGGACTCCCTTTCCTCCCTACGTTACGGAGGGAGTCCTGAGTACACATGTGCTCACAACCGAACGAAAACATTTCTGACCAATAATTTCAATATTTTTACCTTGTTGGAGAAGCTAATTTTTACGTCGTAGTATTCTATGTGTCCTTATCTGTTAGTACGCTGGGTTCAGGAATTCCATATGCGATGCTGACTGACGTCAATCAGGAAAACAAACTCGAAAGCATCGTTAAACTTGTACGTGTTTAGTCTCTTTTCATCAGTTTCTCACCGCCGAGTCTATTCTAGTCGTACATCATGTACGTCTGTATGGTGCAGCGTGTAGTCTGGTTCCCTAGACCGGACAATTATTCTCGACGCTCATTATCACATCTGGTCCGGGGGGCAGACTATGCTGCATGAATATGCAGTGCGCACGCGCGATTTGCTTAGTAACCACCCTCATACGCACGCGCACTTACTTGAAGGTGCGGTCGCTAATCCAATGACCGAGCGTGTTTTCGCGCCAGTTACCAGAAACACGTTTCGGCTTTGGTCATTGGTTGAGCGTTTTCCTGACATCGGTTGGCTGGAGTGACGTCACGGTTCCAACCAAAACTAAACAAATGAGGGCGCTTAGCGTGCGTGCGCGCTTTCGGATTGTACGCACGTACATTTGTACATATCATGTACCAGGCATGCAACTGGGAAATCACAAAAAAAGAGGAAATTCAATTTTGTCCCAGATTTTGTACAGTGTTTTTTTATTTTCAATGGCACACATGGGAAGTAAAAAAAGAGGAAATCAGCTGATCCGAGGAAAAGTTGCATGCATGATGTACATTGTACATGACGTACGACTCTGGGAATAAACTGATGAAAAGCGACTACAAACACGTACAAGTTTAACGTTGCTTTGGAGTTTATTTTCCTGATTAACGTCAGTCAGCATCGCATATGGAATTCCTGAACCCAGCGTGCTAACAGATAAGGACACATAGAGTATGTAGGTGTGAAATATTAGCTTCTATAACGAGGTAAAACATAACAAAACTCTGGTAAAAATGTTGTATGGTTTCATGTAGAAAAGTCTTGTCCTGGACGTTAGTCGTATTGCAATGAAGACTTCGTCCAACCTGGGCTACTAAGGCATGCTGCAAACATACATAGTACATGATCATCTTATGAGTGATTATAGTTAAGATCTCACTCTCTCATTTACTGGGCAGTGCCAGTTTTCCTTAAGTGGTCGAATAATACCCCTTTTTACCCTAGGCCTTTTCAATAATAAGGTGACTGTACAAAGAAATAACAAAACTGTAAGGCTTTTACAAACCTTACACATTTTTGCTGTGCCAGCTAATTTTTCGACCGAGGCCCAGGGCGCTAACTTTCTTGTCCAACAACAGACTAGAGTAGCTTTCCACATGATTTTTCTTTCTCTCGTGCTGTCGAATGAAAGCCAGCCAACAATGAAAGTTTGGAGATTCCTGTGACATCTTTATGCGAAACTCTCGTAAATTTCTTTCCAAACAACATCAAACAAAACATATTAACAGAAATATAGGGCCTATACTTACCCCTTTCCTTTTCCCTTGCCTTTCCCTTTTCCCTTGCCTTTCTTTCCTTTCTTTGGCGGCATTTTTGTGGCTCCTTATTTTTGGCCTTTTTTCACCAAAACAAAAAAGGAAGCAACCAGAAGGCAAAAGTTAAAAATTGATGTTGACTCAATATGGGAATGTGGAATGGAAGTAAAACCAAACACGTTTAGGACAACGAATATCTCGCCGTCCCGAAGATGTGACACACTCGTACTCTCACAGTGAATCAAGTCATGATCTCTTTTGTATAATCGACTCTTTTGTTTGTTGCTTTATAGAGGAATTGCGAGTCATTCAATGAGCTGAGACAACAGAAATCAGCAACAAACTTTTTCAACATCGAGTAAATCTTGTCCATCCATTTGGTAGTAGTATGGTGGCCGCCTTGTTAAAGCTTATTAGACACCAGGCTGATCTTGGCACGAAAATTGGGCCGGATTTTCGGCTGGCCGGATTTTCGGGTAGGCACTATTTTTACGGCGGCGCGCCGCCGTGAAGATTACCACTACGGTGGCCCTAAACAGCCATTGCAAATAAACCTTAGGAGAAAACGAATTATAAAGGAAGTTCAACTTCTTATCAGGGTGAATTACCTTAAATAACTGAAGCTGTTGTTTATTCGACTCTAAAGTAAATCGTAATGAAAACTGTGGCAATATATTTTCAGAATTGGGAATGTTAATGTTATAAATTTTAACGTTACTGCATAAAGGTTCTGCTTATAGCCGATGAGAGGGCGCTATATCCGCCAGACTGCCACTCAAGTAGTGGTGCGTTGCGGGAAAGATCGGGTCTCAGGCATGAGAATCCTGTTTAAACAGGAATTCCTATTTGTTTTTTTGCCAAAATGTCCCGGGGATGCCTCATTTCACATTTTTCTTTCTTTTTTTCATAAAAATTAACGCTCAAACGGCCCGGCTGCAATTTTCTTTTCCCAAACTACAGGGTTGTTTAGCGCCCTCTACGATACTTTTATGACACGTACGTACGCAGGTAAAGAAAATACGGATATCCCATTTTGAAATGATTTTGTACCATCCTAAATGTTCGAAATGTCCCGTTCCGATTGCATACACGGGTTGAGGGACATCCAAAGTGTATTCTATTTGCGCCCCGAATAAATCGGTATTGAAACAGAGTCAGCCCAATGAAATTAATCATACAATTGATAATTACGATACAAAAGACCGGGTTTTGCAAAGAAAATACGGATATCCCATTTTGAAATGATTTTGTACCATCCTAAATGTCCAAAATGTACCGTTCCAATTGCATACACGGGTTCAGGGACTCTCAAATTGTATTCTATTCGCGCCCCAAATAAATCAGTATTGAAAAAGAGTCAGCCCAATGAAATTAATCATACAATTGATAATTACGATACAAAAGACCGGGTTTTGCAAAGAAAATACGGATATCCCAATTTGAAATGATTTTGTACCATCCTAAATGTCCGAAGTGTCCCGTTCCACTTGCATACACGGGTTAAGGGACTCTCCAAGTGTATTCTATTTGCGCCCCGAATAAATCGGTATTGAAACAGAGTCAGCCCAATTAAATTAATCCAACGATTGATAATTACGATACAAAACACCGGTTTTCCCCAACAAAATTTGGATATCCCATTTTGAAATAATTTTGTACCATCCTAAATGTCCGAAATGTCCCGTTCCAATTGCATACACGGGTTGAAGGACATCCAAAGTGTATTCTATTCGCGCCCCAAATAAATCGGTATAGAAAAAGAGTCAGCCCAATTAAATTAATCCAACGATTGATAATTAACGTACAAACAGCCGTTTTCCAACGAAAATACGGATATCCCATTTTGAAACGATTTTGTACCATCCTAAATGTCCGAAATGTCCCATTCCAATTGCATACACGGGTCGAGGGACATCCAAAGTGTATTTTATTCGCGCCCCGAATAAATCGGTATTGAAACAGAGTCAGCCCAATTAAATTAATCCAACGATTGATAATTAACGTACAAAACAGCCGTTTTCCAACGAAAATACGGATATCCCATTTTGAAATGGTTTTGTACCACCCTAAATGTCTGAAGTGTCCCGTTCCACTTGCATACACGGGTTAAGGGACTCTCAAAGTGTATTCTATTTGCGCCCCGAATAAATCGGTATTGAAACAGAGTCAGCCCAATTAAATTAATCCAACGATTGATAATTACGATACAAAACACCGGTTTTCCCCAACAAAATTTGGATATCCCATTTTGAAATAATTTTGTACCATCCTAAATGTCCGAAATGTCCCGTTCCAATTGCCTACACGGGTTGAAGGACATCCAAAGTGTATTCTATTCGCGCCCCAAATAAATCGGTAAAGAAAAAGAGTCAGCCCAATTAAATTAATCCAACGATTGATAATTAACGTACAAACAGCCGTTTTCCAACGAAAATACGGATATCTCATTTTGAAACGATTTTGTACCATCCTAAATGTCCGAAATGTCCCATTCCAATTGCATACACGGGTCGAGGGACATCCAAAGTGTATTTTATTCGCGCCCCGAATAAATCGGTATTGAAACAGAGTCAGCCCAATTAAATTAATCCAACGATTGATAATTAACGTACAAAACAGCTGTTTTCCAACGAAAATACGGATATCCCATTTTGAAATGGTTTTGTACCACCCTAAATGTCCGAAGTGTCCCGTTCTACTTGCATACACGGGTTAAGGGACTCTCAAAGTGTATTCTATTTGCGCCCCGAATAAATCGGTATTGAAACAGAGTCAGCCCAATTAAATTAATCCAACGATTGATAATTACGATACAAAACACCGGTTTTCCCCAACAAAATTTGGATATCCCATTTTGAAATAATTTTGTACCATCCTAAATGTCCGAAATGTCCCGTTCCAATTGCATACACGGGTTGAAGGACATCCAAAGTGTATTCTATTCGCGCCCCAAATAAATCGGTATAGAAAAAGAGTCAGCCCAATTAAATTAATCCAACGATTGATAATTAACGTACAAACAGCCGTTTTCCAACGAAAATACGGATATCCCATTTTGAAACGATTTTGTACCATCCTAAATGTCCGAAATGTCCCATTCCAATTGCATACACGGGTCGAGGGACATCCAAAGTGTATTTTATTCGCGCCCCGAATAAATCGGTATTGAAACAGAGTCAGCCCAATTAAATTAATCCAACGATTGATAATTAACGTACAAAACAGCCGTTTTCCAACGAAAATACGGATATCCCATTTTGAAATGGTTTTGTACCACCCTAAATGTCCGAAGTGTCCCGTTCCAATTGCATACACGGGTTAAGGGACTCTCAAAGTGTATTCTATTTGCGCCCCGAATAAATCGGTATTGAAACAGAGTCAGCCAAATTAAATTTATCCAACGATTGATAATTACGATACAAAAGACCGGTTTTCCCGAACAAAATTTGGATATCCCATTTTGAAATAATTTTGTACCATCCTAAATGTCCGAAATGTCCCGTTCCAATTGCATACATGGGTTGAAGGACATCCAAAGTGTATTCTATTCGCGACCCAAATAAATCGGTATAGAAAAAGAGTCAGCCCAATTAAATTAATCCAACGATTGATAATTAACGTACAAAACAGCCGTTTTCCATCGAAAATACGGATATCCCATTTTGAAACGATTTTGTACCATCCTTAATGTCCGAAATGTCCCATTCCAATTGCATACACGGGTCGAGGGACATCCAAAGTGTATTTTATTCGCGCCCCGAATAAATCGGTATTGAAACAGAGTCAGCCCAATTAAATTAATCCAACGATTGATAATTAACGTACAAAACAGCCGTTTTCCAACGAAAATAAGGATATCCCATTTTGAAATGGTTTTGTACCACCCTAAATGTCCGAAGTGTCCCGTTCCAATTGCATACACGGGTTAAGGGACTCTCAAAGTGTATTCTATTTGCGCCCCGAAGAAATCGGTATTGAAACAGAGTCAGCCAAATTAAATTTATCCAACGATTGATAATTACGATACAAAAGACCGGTTTTCCCCAACAAAATTTGGATATCCCATTTTGAAATGATTTTGTACCATCCTAAATGTCCGAAATGTCCCGTTCCAATTGCATACATGGGTTGAAGGACATCCAAAGTGTATTCTATTCGCGCCCCAAATAAATCGGTATAGAAAAAGAGTCAGCCCAATTAAATTAATCCAACGATTGATAATTAACGTACAAAACAGCCGTTTTCCATCGAAAATACGGATATCCCATTTTGAAATGGTTTTGTACCATCCTAAATGTCCGAAATGTCCCGTTCCACTTGTATACATGGGTTCAGGGACTCTCAAAGTGTATTCTATTTGCGCCCCGAATAAATCGGTATTGAAACAGAGTCAGCCCAATTAAATTAATCCAACGATTGTTAATTACGATACAAAAGACCGGTTTTTGCAAAGAAAATACGGATATCCCATTTTGAAATGATTTTGTACCATCCTAAATGTCCGAAATGTCCCGTTCCAATTGCATACACGGGTTGAAGGACATCCAAAGTGTATTCTATTCGCGCCCCAAATAAATCGGTATAGAAACAGAGTCAGCCCAATTAAATTAATCCAACGATTGATAATTAACGTACAAACAGCCGTTTTCCAACGAAAATACGGATATCCCATTTTGAAATGATTTTGTACCATCCTAAATGTCCGAAATATCCCGTTCCAATTGCATACACGGGTTGGGGGACATCCAAAGTGTATTCTATTCGCGCCCCGAATAAATCGGTAATGAAACAGAGTCAGCCCAATTAAATTTATCTGACGATTGATAATTACGATACAAAAGACCGGTTTTTGCAAAGAAAATATACGGATATCCCATTTTGAAATGATTTTGTACCATCCTAAATGTCCGAAATGTCCCGTTCCACTTGTATACACTGGTTCAGGGACTCTCAAAGTGTATTCTATTCGCGCCCTGAATAAATCAGTACTAAAACAGAGTCAGCCCAATTAAATTAATCCCACTATTGATAAGTATTACGTACAAAACAGCCGTTTTACAACGAAAATAAGGACACCCATTTTGAAATGGTTTGGTACCATCCTAAATGTCCGAAATGTCCCGTTCCACTTGCATACACGGGTTAAGGGACTCTCAAAGTGTATTCTATTCGCGCCCCGAATAAATCGGTATTGAAACAGAGTCAGCCCAATTAAATTAATCCAACGATTGATAATTACGATACAAAAGACCGGTTTTCCCCAACAAAATTTGGATATCCCATTTTGAAATGATTTTGTACCATCCTAAATGTCCGAAATATCCCGTTCCAATTGCATACACGGGTTGGGGGACATCCAAAGTGTATTCTATTCGCGCCCCGAATCAATCGGTATTGAA